GAGATGGATTTAAATATGAACTGTAAAAATTAAAACAAAACTTAAAGATTTACAAAATTCTGTTGTACAAACTAAAGAAACATGTTCTATAATTTTCACCAGGGATGTGGCTACACAAACTTTTGTTAAAGAGAATAAACTTCTCACTGATGTATCTAACAAACTACCACAGCAGAAAAACCATCAGCTTAGATTGAAGGGGACAGAGACAGAATGAAAGGAGAGAATGTTGTCTGCCTCTTGGAACTGTACAGGCATAAAACAGGCCAAAGGAGCTCAAAGGAGCTTTTATTGTCCTCAATAAAAGAAGAAGCTTGTCCCTGGAGCAATTCAGAGATGAACAGAATTGTTGGAAGGGGCATAGGTAGCAGGGCTGCATCACTTTCAAAGGGTAGAGTCACAACCTCCTAAATATAAGAGTTAGATCTTCACCAACTCCATTCAGAGTGTGGGGCTGACATTAAGGTGTGCCAGGGATATGGGGTCACTACCCAAAGAAGGGGGCAGGGGTGCTGCCACACCCAAGAGGCAGAGGAACAGGGCCTGCTGGGGCACAGGGATGGGGTCACCACTGAGATGGACTAGAAGAATTCCACAGCCCAAAGCTGAAGAAGCAGAGTTGCTGTCCCATTGGGCCTGGAAGGTGGAGATGAAGCCCAAGGCAAGGGGCATCCAGAATCCAGAGAGTGTGGCCAACACCTAGAGTCTGAAGGGCAGGACCATTGCCCAGATGGTCTCGGAGAACAAAGGATATTTTCTTTCTTCTTTTTAAAATTTTTATTGTGACTTGAGTAAAGTTAACAGAGCAAGTTAATTTTCCACATAACAGTTCTTACACATTTTCTTTCATGATATTGACTGTAATTTCCCACAATGTAACATCTCTCTTCCCACTTCCTTCCTGTAGCTACCTCTTCCCTATGTCCGTCTTTCCTACACATTCCTGCCCCCAAGCTGTCTCCCTGTGCAAACACTGCCCTTCTGTTGTCCCAAGATGATCACTCTAAGGAATGTATCTACCTTGTGTAAATGTTCACCCTACAGGCCTGTATATTGTTTGGCTGGAAGCCACAGGAGTGAGTTCAGTTTCAGACCTGAAGGGCAACTAGGGGCCATAGTCTCAGGGGGTCTCACCCAACTCAGAGGATTATTTTCAAAATTTGAGAGCTAATGTAATTTATTCTCCTGGGTTATGGACTTGCTTGTTGCCCATTATCCCTCTTTCCCTCCAACTTCTCCCATTTGTAATGGAAATTTCTACTCTGAACCTGTTCTAACATTGTGCTTTGGAAATAGATAACCTATAAGCTAGTTTGCAGACATTAACAGATGAAGAGGAATTTTGCCCCAGGATAGAATATGCCTAAAGTCTCACCCATATTTGATTTAGATGATGCAGATTAGGTTTTGGACTTGGAACTGATTTATGGTATTTCTGTTATAGTAGCACTAGACTGAAGTTGTCAAGGATTTCATTTTAGTTGGATGCAGAATCAGCGCCCATGGAAGTATCAGTCAAGAAATCAAACAACGTATTGCATTGGACAAATATGTGACAAGAGACCTCTTTAAAATGTTAAAGAGCAAAGATGTCACTTTGAAGACTAAGGTGTGCCTTAACTAAGCCATGGTATTTTCAATTGCCCCATATGCATGTGAAACTGAACAATGAATAAGGAAGAATGAAGAAGAACTAATTCATTTGAATTATGGTGGTGAGAAATAGTGAATATACCATGGATTGCAAGAAAATGAACAAATAAAGGTCTTGGAAGAAGTACAGCCAGAATGCCCCTTAAAAGTGAAGATGAGAGGATTTTATCTCTTATACTTTGGTCATGTTATCAGGAGGGACCAGTCCCTGGAGTAGAACATCATGCTTGGTAAAGTAGAGGGTCAGTGAAAAAAGAGGATGACCCTCAATGAGATAGACTGACACAGTGGCTGCAACAATGGGCTCAAACATAGCACAATTTTGAGGATGGTGCAGGACTGGACAGTGTTTTGTTCTGTTGTACATAGGGTTGCTATGAGTTGGAACTGACTTGATGGCACTAACTACAACAACAGACATCATGCTTGATAAAGTAGAGGGTCAGTGGAAACGAGGAAGACTCTCAATGAAATGGATTGACACAGCAACTACAAAAATGGACTTGAACATGGCAATGATTGTGAGGATAGTTGCGGTGTAGTGAATTGCTTAATATGGCCCTTTGAGCCATCGTTCTCCATTTTGTGATGTATTGTAAATCTTAGGCTCTATGCCTGTTTAGGGTAGGAGGTATCTTGAATCTCACCTTGCTGAAGGGCATGACTCAAGTCAGCTCCCTTAGTTTCCTCAGGGGTATATATGTGAATGGTCTGAGAAAGTTCTCGCTCTTGCCCAGGTCCTGTGTTTGGTTTGTCATCATCTCACCCCTGGATTTGAGAGAGCAGCCAGTCATCTGACCTGCCAATTTGGGTTTGCCAGCCACTACAACCATATAAGAGGGGAGAACCCTCCAGACTACCCATGTACTTGGGAGGTGCCAGCCTCCCAGCCTCCACTGCCATGTGAGCCATTTCCTTGGCAGTTTCTGGGTTCTGTGAGACATTACAAAGATACAGAACCCTAAGACAGGAGGGAGAATACTGAGGGGAGTGGGAGAATTAGATGTTAGAGATGATGGAGTGGCACAGCAGTTTGGAAAAGTTGGACATTTGGGACATCTTTAACCTCTGCTTCATAGGGATCAGACTTGTGCTGATCTTTTTAAAAGACATTAAAATGCAACAGGACCAGGCAGTGTTTCGTTCTGTTGTACACAGGGTTGCTATGTGCGGGAACCAACTCAATGACAACTACCAACAATAACCACCACTGTAAGAGATCTGCACATCTGGCCTTCCTGTTCTAGGAAGAGGACCTGTCTGCTATGGGGACTCCACTATAGTTCCTGGCCCCTCAAAGAATGGTCACCTACCACACTGTGGGGAACCTCTGTCTTCAGGCTAAGCTGGCTCCGTGGTCTTCTAACCTTTCAAATGTCACCTCCCCAGCATATTTTAGATGAATCTTCTCCACTAACCATAGAACCCCTGACACCTTCCCCCTACTTTGCCACACATTTGCCACTGACAGGGTTCTGAATTGTCATAGCTGGAAAATAAGATGTCCAGCCAACCTGGTTTTCTGGGAGTAAAAAGGTTCCCGGGGCATGGAATTTCCAGTACTAAAACTAAAAAAGCCCTAGGCAAACTGGAATGAGTTGGTTGCCCTACTGGAATGGTTGCAGAGAGGCAGCCTTTAGAAAAGGTGATGGAGAGAATAAGGAAGCAGCCTGCAACAGGAACCAAGATGGTATCATGTGTGTTGTATGTGTGTGTTCAAGAGCAACACAAGTGCAAAGAATATTTTATATACATAATCCCTGACAGATTCTTAACTCTAAAACTATTAGTCAGTGTCTGTTTCTGTCCATGAGGCAATTCTTCTTCCAGTTGTGAGGTCATCATTGACTCATGCAATAGATGGTCACTGGAGGAATCACACTGATTCCTCTTCTGTGACAATGCACCCTCTCAAAACTGGCCTTGGTAGTGGGAACATTTGTAGCCCAGGTGTGGAGGTCCAGGAGTTAGTGGAGGGTTATGCCTATCATTCTGCATGTGTGTCAGTGTAGGGTCCTTTTGGCAGGGGCAGGGAGAAGGGTCTGGACTCCCATTAACAAATGACCAAAAACAAACAAAACTCAATGCCATCGAGTTGCTTCCGACTCAGTGAGCCCTCCTTGAGTTTCCCAGGTGGTATCTCTATGGAAGTAGATTGCCCAATCTTCCAAGAAGTGGTTGGTGGGTTTGAACCACTAGCCTTCTGGTTAGCAGTCAAATGCCTTAGGCACTACACTACCAGAGCTCCCAAATGACCAAAGGTAGGGGGAAAAAATGAAGCTACTGTTCAAGTACAAACCTGGAGTTAGGTACCATGGAGTGGTTGATCAAAGGTTGATCAACGGCCCAGGGGAATTTTATGACCAAAAGGGAGAGTGAAGTCTCTGGTAACCACCACCAGAATCCTGCCTCTCTCTTCCTTGGCCCTGTGCCTCTCTCTCCGAAGTAGAGAGCCAACAAACATGAGCTCTGGAAGCCTGGGTTCAAATACTGACCTCTGGGTTCTTCCTTTGTAAAACGGGCATAATTATATCACCTACCTTATAGAGTTGCTATGAGGGTTATATGCCATGGATTGCCAGAAGAATGAACATTTTTCTCTTTGAAGAAGTACAGCCAGAATGCTTAGAAGCAAGCATGGTGAGACTGTGTCTCACGTACTTTGGACATGTTATCAGGACATCACGCTTGGTAAAGTAGAGGGTCAGTGAAAAAGAGGAAGACCCTCAACGAGATAGACAGTGGCTGCAGCAATAGCAACGACTAACAATGGCATAGCATTGAGCAGTGTTTCGTTCGTAGGATCGCTATGAGTGGAAACCCACTCGACGGCCCCTAACAACAACAACTTGAGGACTAAGGAGGAGTCTTGGTGGTAGCAGTGGTTAGGGGCTCCACTGCTAACCAGTCGGAGGTTTCAACCCACCAGCTTGGTGGGGAGAAAGATGTAGCACTCTGCTCCTGTAAAGATTAAAGCCTTGGATACCCTATGGGGCAGTTCTACTCTGCCCTAAAGTTGGCCTGTGAGTCAGAATTAACCCTAACAACAAGTTTGGTTTTCGTTACGAGGGTCAAAGAAATCATCGCGTTCAAAGTGGTTGACACCGTGTCAAATGCGTACTTTCCCACAAAAAAGCAGGTTTTGCTTTTATTGGCTGCCGGCGCCCGGATTGAGGCAGCGTGCGGTAGAGTCTCGGCTTTATTCTCAGCAACTGGGAAAGGCTAGCACCTGGACTACGGCCCGAGGAGGCCCGGGGCGACCCCATTCCCCCACCTGAGAATCCAGACAGGGAGTTGAGCGCTGAGAGTCCGCGGCCCCAGAGCTCACGCTCGCAGCAGCTTTGCCTTCAATCGTCCACCTGTATCTCCTCTTCTGACAGATGTCCGGAATCAGGAGGAACTAGGCCGGGGCCTGTGGCACCGTCCGGCAGCGCGAGGCGGCGCAGCATTCCCGGGGACAACGCGCTCAAAGAGGCCACGTCGGCGCGCATCTCCTCCACGTCGCGCTTGAGCTTGGCACGCCGGTTCTGGAACCACGTGACGACCTGCGCGTTGGCCAGGCCCAGTCTCGCAGCTAGCCGGTCGCGCTCAGACGGCGCCAGGTACTTCTGGAAGACAAAGCGCCGCTCCAGCTCCAGCACCTGCTGCGCAGTGAACGCCGTGCGTGACTTGCGTCGCCTGCGGCCCACTGTGCCTGGGCCCAGCGCGCCTGGGGCGGGGCGGCCTGCGGGGAGAGGACCGAGGTCAGTCTCTGGCCTGCGGGAATCAGGCTGGGGCTGGGGAGGAGAAGCTGGGGGTGAGGTTAGGCCAAAGGGGGGCGGGGAGATGTGTGGGTGCCAGAACCGCGGTACCGTATCGGACAGCACAATGGTCAACCTGAGGTCGGAGGGGGCGGGCGCAGAGTAGTCCAGAGGAAATAGGGTATCATAGGCAGCCGGCACATAACAACAACAACAACAACAGGCAGCCGGCTGAGGACGTCTAAGGGAGGGCGAGGGAGGGAGGGCGGAATTGGCCAGAGAAGCTGGCTCAAGCTGTCTAGCGCAGGGCCCTTGAGGCCTTCCGGAACCCCCAACTGAGCCGGCCTGCAGGATGAAGGTGGTACCAGGGGCGGGCGCCAGCAGGGGTCAGGAAGAGAGAGCTGACCCGGCATGGTGAGGATAACGGGGATCGAATCTTGCCCTTAATTTCATGGTCATGCCTCTCCTGACACTTCGTTAGTGACATCGGCGCCCCCTCTTGCAGCGCAAAAGGGAGACTGTGGGGGGTACAAAGGGCGAGGAAAGGCGTAGTCGAGTCCCGGGCTCACTCCTTGGCGAGGACTTTCTAGTCTTTGGGTCCCCTCAAGAAGATAGTGGCTTTGAGCGGAGCCTGGCCACCCAGAGAGACCCTCGCCTATGAGCGCTTTCTCCGCCGCTTGTGCCCTGGCTAACTGTCTACCGCCTGAGGCTAAGGCCTTTTGTTTTCTCTGCGGGCTTTCTCCATCGCGATTGCCCCGCCTTCAGCGAACAGACCAACGGGTCGTTCAGTACTCAAAGGGGCGCTCAGTACTCAACAACTCGGCTCTTCCCCGCAGCGCTGGCGGCCTCCGGGAATGGCCGTGGTGCCTGGGTTCTAAGGAAGGAGAGATGAGGAACTAGGCCCCTCAGAAGGCAATTCCCGGCATGTGGATTGAAAACAGGGGGCAGATTAGGATGGCAGGGCCGGGAGAGACGAAGGTTCGAGACTGGGAACCAGGAGAAAAGAGACGGGGAGAGAGCCAAGTCGGAGTTCTCGACCTTGCCCTCGCTATACCTTCAGAGGGCTGCGGGGCGCGCCCGTCGAGTCCGCGGAAAGTTTTACTAGTCAGCTCCTCCAGCGCACACAGCGGAGATGTGGGACCAGGACCCGACTCTGGGAGCTGCGGCGTCAGTGTTGTCCGGGGGACCATGCGCGGGCCTAAGATGTCTGCGATGCTAAAAGGTGTCCGGGGTGTTCGAGACTCGGTTCCCGAGCTCATGGCGGGCCGGGCTTTTGCGGTCCAGCAGCCCGCTGCGCTTGGCTCCGCTGCCGCCTACGCCCCAGTGAGCGGCTCCCGATCTGGGCCCCCAGCCTCGGACCCGCCCCCCGCACTGGGCCCGAGCCCCTTGTGCCCCTCCTCCTGCGCCCTCCACCCCCACCCGGAGCAGCGGCGGGTCTGGAGCCGGTAGATGTCCGGTCAACGGTATTTTTCTACCGGGAGGAGGAATTGCGAAAAGGAGAAGCCTGCGGAACCTCTCGCCAGACCAGAGTCGCGGGCTGCTGCGCATTGCGGGGCACACTCAGACTGGCCCTTCCCCTGCGGCCCCCAGACTCTGTGTGTCGCCAACTCCCTGTGGAGCCGCCGCTCCGGCTCATAAACTCTTCGGTGATAAAATGGTTGTCCCCAGCCCTCCAGCCCGAAGGGCTGGATTTGCAAAGTTCCAAGGAGGGGGATCAGAGTTGCCTGTGCTAGGAGCCTAACTGTGCAGGAACAGGGTCCAGCTGCACCGGCCCATCTCAAGGCCCCAAGTTTCCTGACCTTGCCCCCTCGTTCCGACCCCACCCCTGCAGAACTCTATTAAAGTGGTCGGTCCAGGCGGCTGGAAGTGATTAGTGCGGCTCTGGGGGGCGCAGGGTGGTGGCGGCGGAGCGGGAGACTTGGGAGGGCCGCTGGGTAGAGTGATTGGAGCTTACAGCTGAAACGAGGAAGCAAGCACAGGTGAGTGGACTTCAGAACACTCCGGTTGGACTGAGGCTGTCTGCTCCACCCCAGCTCGGATGCTCTGAGTGAGTTAGAACACCGGAAAAGGCAGGAGACCTGCACCTCAGAAGACAAGACACGGCAGAACCAGGAGTTGGTGCTACTGACCGGTGGAGGCTTTGCCAGTAGGAATCAGCCTCCCCATAGACCTTCCAGCTCACCTGCTCATTCTATCAGTTGACCAGTTTGTCTTTGTTTCTTTATTAAGCTTCTGTAGTTAGGTACTGGTTCCCCAACTCTGGGAGGCCCAGAAATTGGGAAGGAGCCAGAGGCTGCTGGTCACTGCCTCTGCTGGTCACAGAAGGCTGAGGGGGCAGACTTGATGGACCCAACCAGCCTCTAGGAACATACCAACAGGGCCCTCAGGAGGCAGATTTGCCAACCCAGGGGCAAACTCAGAGGCCTGGGATGTACATTCATTCTTATTTTACCTATGTCCTTGCACACCTGTCCTGGTTCTGGATTTGAACCCCTGTTGAACAGCCCACAGCCCTCCCCTGTTGGAAGAAGGCATTGCTTTTAGCTAAAGTTGATGCTTTGGCAGTGGAGTGCCCCTTGAGGCTAGGGTTTAGTTTACATATTGAATCCTGTATAGCCAGGGGATTCACAACCTAGAGCCTGAGCCTCAACAACATAAATGGACTGGTTTAGTGATTTGCAAACAGAGCCAAGAACCTAGCAGATCCTAGTCTCCCCCCCCCCATTAGTCTCCCTAACTGGCAATCATGTGGCCTTCCCTGTAGACCTCTCCATCTCCCACCATTTGTTCAGTGGTCCTCTGTGCCCGCCTACTACCAGGGGCAAGCAGAGTCTGCAGTTGGGCTTGGGCTCCCAAACAGCTTGGGAGACTCAAAGGGCTTGGGCCAAAAGCCCAGGATGGGGCATGGATGGGAAGGCACTTTGATAGTGAGATCAAAGGCCAAATGGGTTGGGGAACCTCAAGTGGCCAGAAGCACTGATCTAGCCAACCCAAAATACAGAGAGAAACAGGGGTCTTCTTGTAAGGGCTCCCTCAGATGATGCCTATCCACCCCCACAGGGACATTCCAGCTTGATGGAGCAACACTCCAGCTTGATGGGCCACCACTAGGTCAGAGAGCAGAGCTAGGCCACAGCAGAAAGCTGAGATGCCACAGGACCTTGTTAATTGGTTATTAATGGGGGGGGGGGGGAGTAGGAGGACCAGGAGAGATCTGCCCTGAGTCAAATATCTTAGTGGTTTCACATAATCTGCAATTAAAGTGAGTCCCAGGAGGCCTCTGAAACTGCCCAGCTATGTCCTGGGCCTGTCACCAGTTACTGAAAACAGTCACTGAGACCTGTACTCATCTATCCTCTGGCTTTTATGTCGGTCTTTCCCCCTGCTCTCAGTTACTCGTGTGTGTCTGTGGGGTCTGAGGGTCCTCTAAGCAGCCTTTGCCTCCCCTCACCTTCTGTCTTGCCGCTACCTTCTCCCCGAAGTAGCCAGGTTCAGGTATAGAATTGGGCGGTCTCCAGACATGAGTTGCCAGGAGCGGAGGAAGGGGAGACTAGCAAAGGGAGGAGGCCACCGACAGCAGAGGCCCGACCAGGGTCGTCCCAGGGACCGCGGACTAGTCCAGACGGTCGCGGGGCCACAGGAGGGGGATTTCCCTAGCACAGTCTTTGGAACTCGAGCTGGGGAGAAACCAGATACGCGGAGGGGGTGAGGAGGAGGGTGAGTGATTAATGAGGGAGATTAAGAGATTAAACCTGGGATCTTTTTTGGGGGGGGGGGGCGCTCAGCTGTCTCCTCGGCATCCCCTCACCCTATCTTGACAGCGCGGATCCGCGCACCGCTAGGGCAGGCTGTGACGCTGCACCGTGTTCAGTGTGCCTCCGTAGCATTTTGCACGCCATCGTCCTACCCTCAGTGGGTGGGTCCTCAGACACCCGCCTTCACCGCGTTCCCTGCTCAGTCGGCCGTTTTCTTCCCGTCATTCTCAGTCCTTCACGTCTCCCAGCTCCTTGACTACCCCTACAGACATCTCAGAGTCCTTTGCCCCTCTTCCCTCTTAAGATCCTCATTCTCACCTTCCTCCGGCAGGAAGGCGCCCCAAATCTCATTTAAGGATACTTTCTCATATCCCTCCCATTACTCACCTCAGATTCCCGGTTCCTCATTATCCTAGCCCTATCCCCAACCCTTTTATTTCTGGACACCCCGCATCGCCCAACCCCTGACTCTTCTTTGGCGGTACCCTCCACCGGCCGGGCCCCAGCTCGAACCCTGCTCCCTTGGCCGACGTCTTGTTCAATGAAAGACTTTTCCTCTCGGGATTACTCGCCACTCTCTTTCCTGTGAATTCTGTGAATGTGTACGGGGGAGGGGGCCCTCAGAATAACCCTTTAGGTGAGGCGGACGAGGACAATCTCTGAAACGTGCTCCTTTGGGAAAATCCGTGAACCCGAGTGAGAGGGGAGAGGAAGTTTAGCGAGGACACTCCCCGCAGAGAGCGTGGGGCGGAGCGTTCATCCCTCTTGCGCGCTGCGAATTGGTTTTCTCTTTCAGGAAAAGTCACTGCGCAGTGAACCAATTCAGATACTTAAATTTTTGTTTCATTATTGCTTGGGGTGCAGGGCCATGAGCGCTTTTAGGCCATTTAAAGGAGGGTTTACCCTCGCTTGCAAAGATCCAGGTGCACGCCAACCGCCAATGTGGCTTCTAAGATGCGGTAGCAGCTGGACACTCTGACACCCCCTGTCCCCCCAACCCTGAGACTCACAGCTCTAGAGAAGTCCCTTTTCCTCATTCCCCCAGGCCCAAGGGAGGCACTAATCAGGCTGAAGGACCAACTTGTCTTCCTTTGTGCCAAAGTCAGGGGCAAACCTCGGCGCCCTTTCCCCCGGTGCGTGTGGCCTCCGTAACTGCAGGGATGGGAAAGGTCAGCAGGAGCAAGTCGGGGGCGTGGCCCTGCTGTGGGGACTGATGTCTCTTCCTCGAAGCGATGAGGCGAAGGAAGCCCCTGGGAAGACGGGCTGCAGGCTGGGGCAGCCGTTCCGGCTAGTTCTGTGAGGCGAAACCAAGAGAACCATAGGAGTGATTTGCCCGCCCCTGGCGCACTAGAGACCTAAGTGACATCGGGGACAGAGTTTGCGGCGGGTCAAGCCTAGGCGGGGGAAATCAACTCCCAGACGCGGAGAGCGGCGCGGAGCCCGCAGCTGGCCTGCATCAGCCATCTCGGGAGAAGGCCTGCAGCTGCCGCAGTCACCGCCGCTGACAGACAAAAAGAAGGCTCTGCGAAGCTGGCGCGGGGCGGGGCAGCGCCGATCCCTCACGCACCTCAAATCCATCATCAGCCCCTTCCGCTGCTCCTAGGTCTCAAACTGTGTGCCACTGAAGATTTGGTCGTCAGGTCTCAGGCCCTACAATCTTCGGAAGAGGCTTTCTCGATGCCTGGTTGCCGCCAAACCCTACAAGAGGGCCACCTCACTTGCGGGGCCTTGAGGAAGCGTCCCTCTAGGTGTACTCCTCCCACAGTCCTAGCTGCTTGACTTCTGAAAGATCCCAAGGAGCGTTTCTACCCTCCCTACCCCTACCTCAGCCCTCAACTCTGCCCCAGAGTTAACTCCTTGGAAATGGTATTTCCGCTCAGAAACCCCTTGAGAACCCCTTGATGCCTCATGCTTGTGCTCGAGTGGGACAAAAAGCCAGCAGAGCTCAAATTCGGGGGAAGGGAGTGGGGAGCCCTGGGATAAATATAAATTAATCTTAAACCTCCAGATACGTGCTGGTGTAGAGGCAGGCCCAAAGGCGGTGGAAAACCAAACTCACTGCCATCGGAGTTAGATCTGACTCATAGTGACCCCTCCTTGGGTTTCTGAGGCGGTATCACTACCGCGGAAGTAGATTGCCCAACTTTCCTTCCGAGGATGGGAGCTCTAGTAGCATAGTGGCTAAAGCACTTGACTGCTAACCAGAATGCTGGCGGTTCAAACCCACCAGCCACTCCTTGGAAGGAAGATGGGGCAATCTACTTCCATAGTGATACTGCCTCAGAAAACCAAGGAGGGGTCACTATGATTTGGGTCTGACTCGACAGCATGTAACAACAACACTGTCTTGAGAGGTCCTAGAACAAAGACATTGGCTGGGTTCATTCCTGGTGTTCAGAGCATGGCCCTGCTCAGACAAGAAATGTTTACTCAATTAGTCAATGGAGTTCCCTCCTTGCTGCTTGCTTCTTGGTCCTTGAAGCTGCCTTTGCTTTCCTTTTGAAACTAGTTCCCTCTCTCAATGACCTTGTCCTTCCCCTGGCCTTACCTACTCTCACTGCAGGATGACCCACTGAATACTAGGTGAATAGCCAGGCCTCCAACCCCCCAACCCCCACCCCTGGTTTCCTATTCTAATTTGTTAGACTCCTCATCCTACTTTTAGGACAAAATCAAAGAACTATAGTGCAATACTGGGAGCTCTGGTGGTATAGTACCTAAGACATTTGACTGCTAACCAGAAGGCTGGAAGTTCAAACCCACCAGCCACTCAGAAGGAAGGGAAGGTCAACTCAACAGCAGTGAGTTTTAGTTTTGTAGTGCAATACTTTGGATTTTTCTTTAAAATATTGCTTTTTCATTTCTGAAGCAGCCACTGTCCAACCCTAGACCTGTCTCACCACTTTCAGATTAGGATACCTCACTCAGGCCCCTGTACCATATGCTGTAGCATTCAATGCCAGTAAAGAGCTCTCAAGATACCCTTCCCTTCACCAAAAAGAGCTGGTGTGGGTTGACTGGCTTCACTGAGCTCACCTTCTGAGTTTCACATGTAGGGACTTCTTTGGCAACACCTGAAGGGCCAAAGAACAGAGGCTGTCCATAATGAAACTCAGAGAATATGTGAGGGAAGTAGGATGAAGAACAAAGCATGATTGTGTGGTGGGAGACTGAGCAAGAAGACTTTTTTTTTTTTCTTTTTTAGTTTTTATTTCAAAAAATAAAGCCACAGTTAATTTTACATAAATATTTGGGGAGGGAAGGGGTGGGGAACAGGGCAGGGGCTTGGCCCCTACCTCCTCTTCTCTTTCACACTGTATTGTAAAAGCAAAGGGGATGGCTAAAGAGAGAACATGGGGAAGGAGTCAGCTGGGAATATGCTTACCACAGGCTCCCCTCAGCCTACCTCTGCCCTGGGGACTGCTTTAGCCCTAGCTCACCTTGCCGAACCAGCGGGAGAGCCATATCTGCTTCATCGTCATGTGGTCAGGGAGAACTTCATTGTCAAAAAGAAGCTGCACCTAAGATGGAGGTGGGGGCAGTTTTAGGGACTTTCCTCTTGGGCATGTGCAGGTGGTCAGGAACTACCCTGATCAACTCCAGACACTGTCTCTCCCTTCTCAGCCTCTTCCCTTCCCGCCCTACCCCCCCAAAAAAAGCAAACTTATTGTAGAGTAACTCACATGCTGGGGATTTAGCATCAAGCGATGACACAGGACCCTCCGGAGATGGCGAACCTCAGCTCTAACAGAACATCTGACATATTTGTTCTAGGGTTGTGGAAGGGAAGGAAGAGGACAAGGTAGGGTGTGTGAAGGAAGAGACATAGGTTGGTAAGTCTCCTTAGGGAGGCCCTTCCCTCAGCCCCTCTCACCTGCAGGACGCTTTTATTCTTGTCTTTGCCAGAACTGGGGCGGGGGGGGGGGAACAAACATAGGTTAGGGAGCCCTATCATTCCCCTTCTTCTTCACCCAGACCCATGATGAAAAGACACTCCCTCAATACTAGATCTTTCCCCCAAGTCCCTCCTTGGCTCTCGGTCTTGGGGACTATTATCTCAGGCAGCCCTAGACCTGCCCCTTACCTCAGCCGTTCCAGGCATAGGCTCAGCTGCTCATCATAGCGATAGTAGTGGGCCTTTGAGTGGTCAAAGCTGCTGAAGGGGAGGCCAAGGTTGCTCAGGGCTGGCTCTGAGAAAGACAGGGTAGTGAGGAGGCTGGCAGTTTCTATACCTCTCCTTCCTCAGAGAGCAAAACTTGTTGTTGTTATGTGCCGTCGAGTCAGACCTGACTCATAGTGACCCCTCCTTGGGTTTCCAAGGCAGTATCACTACAGAAGTAGATTGCCCCATCTTCCTTCCGAGGAGCAAAACTAGGCAGGAAGAATGCTCTGGGGGCTTTCGCTTATCTTATCCCCCTGCTGCCAGGGACATACCTTCTCCACTGGGCTGGGTGACCCGGTCCAAGCCTCTGGACTGATAGAACTCCCGAATCCGTTTCTCTTCACCTAGAAGAGGGTGGCATATAGGAAGTGAAACCTCTGAGAGCTGAAACTCGATGGGACTGCCCTGTTTTTCCAGGTCTCAAAAGTTTTCTGCCTTTGACACAGTGCTTACCACTTTTCTGTCAATATTAAGAATTCTACCTCATAAATACCCAATGAGTTTTCCTTCTCTGACAGGTATCAGGCCTTATGCAGGTTCTGACTTTCACAGGTTTACTGTATTAGTCCTCTTTCAATCTTTGTCCCTCTGGTTATCAGTCCTTTATCTTCATGATTCACCACCAAAGCCTCTGTCACCTGAATCTGCCACCTAGCATCAGTCCCCCCCTGAGGCCCCTCAAAATCAGGTTGGTCACTCACTATCCTGCAAGCCAGGCACTAGCTTGTACACAATGTCTTGCATGACCCGGTCCAGTTTGAGGTTAAGCAGTGGCTGTGTCTCATGGATCTTGATGTTGCACATGGGACAGTACTTGCTGGTTTGGAGGTACTTCACAATACAACTCTTGCAGACTGCAGGGAGAAAAAGTCAGGCTCTTAGGCACTCTGGGAGTCCTGTTCATAGGCTGGATAGGGTGGATGAATGATTGGGATAGTAGAAGGCAAAGTCTAGCCATGACTAGGCAGCACAGTGGCTGGCAGTCAGCTTTGTGATGCCTGGGGCCTGAAGGAGCCGGTTGGGATCCAAGAAACTCACAAGTATGAAGACACTCTGTGATGGTGGTGGCATCCACGAAGTAGCCGGCACACAGGCAGCAGACGATGTGCTCATTCAGGTCTTTGATCTTCACTCGGACCTCCTCCTGCAGACACACGTTTGTCACCGACCACCAGCCCTCCACTCTGCACTTTCCCAGCTTGGGGATCACCCTTTTACTTCACCCCACGACCAAGCCCTGCACCTAGCACCGTCAGCAGGGGATTAGTAGCCGAAGACTAACGATTACCCTCCGCCCGGCAGGGGGCTCCGCGCACAGTGGGGGCTCCCTTCACGTGGACTCGTCCGACCCTCCTTTCCCAGGGGAGACTACAAGACATATGCAGCACAATGCGCACGCGTCCCAGCCCGGAGTTTGGCAACAAGACTGAAATCGCGCAGGCGCGTTGGGGACCCTGCCTCTGCGCAGGCGCACTAGGCGCCCGGCCAGCCACCGCCCGTCCTCTAGCCGGCCCCAGTTCGCACCGCTAGCCGACCACAGCAATAACCCTGCCGCCCCTGCACCTCGTTCCGTAGCGGGTCCATCTTGTACACTGACTGGAGCTGGTTCCGAAGCCTCATCGCGATCGCAATCTGGCCCCCCTGAGGAGACGCCATCTTAAAAGCTGATCTTGGCCTGCCACTTCCGGTGCCGTGTGTGGGGCGGGACTTGTCTCCCAGCAACGAGGGCCTAGGTCTTTGAGGATTCGCTAACCCTTTGTAAGGTCCCGCCCATGTCCCTTTCTGCCCCGTGTGCTCACCTGAGCCCCACTGGCCCCTCCCCCTCCTCAATCCGTAATTAGAGAGTGTGTGTGTGGGGGTGCAGGGAGGGGTCCTATCTCTTTGATCTCCTCTAAGAATTGTCATAATAGACCATACTGGACCTCGGGACTAACTTTTGGAGCCTGCAAAAGACTGCCCCTTCCAAAAGGCCCGTCTGTCTCCGCCCAGGGTCTTTGGTCTCCTGTGACGATGACCCCTTTGAAAAAACCCCTCCACGGCCCAGTCCTCGTAGTTCTCTTGATGAGTAGTTGGCTGTTGAGTCCGCATTGCGGAGCTTCACCCCGATGGCGGGCCTTCTCCCTGCTCCGTGGCGGGAGTTTGTCCCGGCTTGGCGAAGTCTCGGAGAGGGGGCCGGGGGGAAGGGAAGGACCCCCAGGGACTTGGTAGTGATCCTAACCCCCCACCTCCCCCTGCTGCCAGGGGGGTGGCAGGCCCTGGTTAATGATGATGATTTAATCATCGGCGCCTGCGGAGGCCTGGGACAGACTAATGCAGAGCAGATGCCGAAGGAGGAGGGGATAACGACGAGGACACTGCCGCACGCTTAGGCGGCTTGCCTGCGGTAGCATAGGCCCAGCCCCGCACTCAGGGTTGATGGAGGAGACCTAAGAGCTTGTACACCTTTGTCGCTACCCTCAGGGTATTTAAGTGGGATTCAAAAGCGAGGTTAAGCTTACTATTAAGTATTAATACCAAGTACAAGTGGAAATTGGAAAAAGGAGAGATCTCAACGGAGGACCCCCCGCCTCCCCCTAAAATAAAAAGACTTCCTGGAAGAAGTGGGACTTGGGGCACAATTTTGAGATTAGGTAAAAGTGTAGTGAAATAGAGAGGAAAGGGGAATAACAAGACGGACAGGAAGGTGGCCAAGCAGGGCCTTAAGGAGTTGGGACTTTTAGCCTGAGGGAAAAAGGGAGCTACCACTTTTTTGAAGGGAGTTACCCTAGGAAGGGGGCTCTGGTGGCCTGATGCCTAAGGCATTTGACTGCTAACCAGAAGGCTGAAGAGTAAAACCCACCAGCCACTCCTCTGAAGGAAGGTTGGGTAATCTACTTCCGCAGGATACCACCTCAGAAACCCAAAGAGCACTCGCTGTGTGTTGGATCAGACTCAAGGGCTGTGAGAGTTAGTTACCCTAGGAAAGGAGCATTTTCAGTTACCATCAGAGTGAATTGGAGTAAAGAGACAAGAAATTATGCCATTAGTGATTTATTAATCAACTATTTCTCACTGGTCCAAGCCACCATCATCTCGATTTTGGATGATTGCAGTAGCCTCTTAATTGCTTTCCTTTCATCCACCATTGCCCCTTTTTAATCAGTTCTCAGTATGGCAGCTCAGAGTGATTCTGTTAAGACATAATGGGCAGGAGGACAAGTTTTTGCAGTGATAGATATCCTTATTTGATTGTGGTGATGGTTTCTTGGGTGTACATGTCAATCAAAATTTATCAAACTGTGCACTTAAAATAGGTGCAGTTTCTTGTATGATGACTGCACCTCAGGAAAGCTGTTAAATTATGAAACCAAGTTGTTTCACTTCTCTGTTCAAATCCCTTTTCAATAAGAATAAAAGCCAAAAGTCTTTAGAATGGTCTTCAAGATCCTGCTTGGTCTCATCTGTTCACTCATTCCCTCCATATGGACCCATCACCATTCCAAAGACATACCAGGATATGGTCCCACTGTGTTCCTACCTGAATTGCTGCTTGCTGAGATACCCAAATAGCTCCCTCTATCACTTCCTTTAAGTCTTTACTCAGATATCACCTCCATGTTTACCTAAATTTACCTAAATCAACTTTCATCATTTACCTAAATCAACTTTCATCACTTATTTCACTTCTTATCCCTTTCCCTGCTTTATTTTTCTCCTTAGCATTTATTTTTATTACATATAATATGTATTTCTTATTTTTTAAAAAAAATCTTTCTCCCACTAGAATGTAAGCTCCTCAGTGACAGGGATTTTTTTTCCTATTGTGTTCATTGCTGTGTTTCCAGTGCCAAGAACAAGTGCAGGCATATGGTAGGCCTTCAGTGTAACTTTTCTGGATGAACGAATGAATGAATCTTGCTGGTGGTGATGAAGGCTTAGATTAGGTTTTTATTAGTGGAAATGTAAAGGAAGGGCTATTATCTGAAACATTTCAGAGTAAAGCATAACAGGAGGAAGTAGCCAGCAATTTAGTTTGGGGCCTGGGTGAGAGGATGAATGAGGTTCTTGGGAAGGAAGGTGGCAGCAGGAAAGGCAGGTGAAATTAGCCAGCAGGCTAGGAGGACAGTGGGGCTGGAGCACAAGAAGTGTCAAAACCAGGGGTGGAGGTCTCAGAGGTATCTAGATGGATATAAGAATTGAGACCATTGGAATGGGTGAAACCTGAGCAGATGTAGAGGGAAAGAAGGCTAAAGTCTGAGCTTTGAAGAGTTTTCACCGTCTTAGAAGAAGCAGCAAAGCCAATGGAGGAAAGACATAGCAGTGGCTATGGAAGTCCAAAGATGTAGAATAAGACAGTATTGCAGAAGCCAAAAGAAGGGGGCATTTCAAGAAATAGCTTGTGATTAATAAAGTAAACTATATCAGAGAATTGACACTGGGCACTGGAGATCTCTGAGAATGGATCAGTATAGTGACACCAGCTTGCAGTGGGTTAAAACAAAAATAAATGATGAGGAAATGGAGTCAGTGGGTGTGGGCAGTAAAGTGGAGAAGAAAAACACAATTTCTTTAGAAGAGCCAGGCAAAGATTTTGTCTAGATAATGGAGACCTGAGACAGTTGGGAGTGGGAAGGACTAAGTTGAGGAGAGAAATTATGATGTAAGAGTGGGGACCATCATTGAGGGAAGAACACTGCATCAACAGCAGGAGGGAAGAGAAGGAGCTAGAGGCCATATCTGGAGCACAAACATTTCCTGTGAAGCTGTAGGCTCAGACTTGGGAAGAGTTGGGGGCTACAAGCACGTAGGATATGGTAGGACTGATCCAAAGTAGTGTGTGTGTCAAGGGGGAACAGTGTGCATGTGAAGGGCCAGTGTGTAGCACTGTGTATGTATGTGTGCTCACCCCAGGGTCTCCATCTTCATCATGAACTAGTAGGAGACATCCTTTGCTGAGAATCAGACAGGTGGAAGCAAGCAGGAACTGGATAAAGGCAAGCAAGACTAATGGACCACATGAATCCCAGGCCCCATGACCCTCAGACCAGAAGAACTAGATGGTGCCTGGCTCCTGACCACAATAGGAGGTCTTGGATAAAGTGGGATAAAAATGTGGAACAAAACTCATAATTTAAAAAAACAAAACAAAACAAAACATGTTTGATAGAGACTGGTAGAACCCCTGAGACCATGGACCTTAGTTAGATACTTTTCAGGACTGGAACTGAACTCATTCCCTTGGTTCAACTTTCAGCCTATAGGGTGAATGAACAATAACACCAGGGAGGTACGCACTCCTTAGAACAATCAAGCATAGGTGGCAAAAAGGGCAGCACTTGCCCAGGTATAAAGCTCAGAAGGCAGGAAGGGATAGGAAAGACGAACAAATAGAAACAGTAAACACAGGAAGTGGGAAAAGTGTTGTTGCATTGTGGGGATCTAAATCAATGCCACAAAATGAGTATGGATTGTTAAATGGAAAACCAATCTGTTCTGTAAACTTTCACCCAAATAATAATAAAAGTAAAAAACAAACAAAAGAACACCACACACACAAATTCCTAGGATTGTGGTTGACAGAACTGGTGCCCTCCATTCTGAAATGGGGCACTAGAATCTTAAAAACAGAAAAAACCTCCCTAGAAGATTTGTATGTATTCTGGATTTGTGACCCCTCTCCTGAAAGAATCAGTTGGACAATCTCTGGGTGGCAGTACCATCTGTGCTGACCTCCAAAAGCATGGATGTACAGTGAGCAAAGTATGCATGATACTACCCTTTTCTCATTCACTGATTCACTCATTGATTCATTCAAAAGGATTTGTTCTGGTTGGTACCAGAAAGAATCGCAGACACACTGTTCTCATCCCCTGCTCAGAGGCTCTCTCTGAGTGGGGAGAAGGACTGGCCAACTGAACCTTATCAGTTTTCATCTCTTTGCTATCTCCCTAGGTTCTCTGTTCTCATCCTATCCTATAACTCATAAGATCTCTGAGAATTTTGCTTGAACAGCAGAGGGTTCATACTCCCTAATATCCCCCTTCCCCTATTACTGCTGAGAAAGGGCGCTGGAGCTTATGTAAAAGGCTGGGTGAGGTAATAAGGTTGCCCCTTTCCCCCCACCAAGGTAAAAACACAGCTGCCAAATTGGCAGAAGAGGGCTCTGAACAGGGTGGGGAGAGAGAGAGAGATCAGATGATGAAGGCAGCCAAGGTAGGGGAGAGGATGTAACCTATTATTAATGCCCCCTCAACACTCACCCCCACCCACCCCTAATAATCAGGGTCCACCCCGTTCAGACTAAGGCTTCCTTTGAGAACACTGGGAGGCTAGCAGCTTTGGGTTGGAAGAGGGTCCACTCCCTTTTTTCTCCTCTTATCTTCCGGCCCAGATACCCAAATATCACTCCTCATTCCCAGGAGAGAAAAGACCTCCTCACCCTGCCCCAGGCGTCAGGCTGCCAGCCCATCTGCTGGGGAGAATGAAGGGGCAGAGTCTATCCCAGGGGATACTAGAAAATCAATTAGAAGATCCGTGCTCCTAGGGAGAACCACCTAGGAAACCTGGAAGGCATTTTGGCTCACAGTGGAAAACTATGGCTTGGAGCTGAGCACCAAGAGAGGCTGGAGGCGAGGGTGGTGCAGTGGGGCGGGGTCTTCAGACCACCTTGTGGATGAGGCAGCGGAGTTGCTCCCTCCGGTAGGGTACCCAGCCGCCGTGGGATGGTAGGAGCGCCCCCCCCCCCCGCGCCTAGTCTCACCGGCTCTGAGGCGCCACGGCCCCCCCGGGGCCCGGCCGGGCCGGAGAAGGTAATGTAATTCTGGTCCAGCTAACCCGATTATGGCGGCCTGCACCGGGCCGGACGGCGGCAGGGGCGGGTCTAAGGCGCAGGGGCCCGCCCGGCGGGGGTCCCATCCCGGGGAACACGAGGAGTTCACACACTTCCAGCTCTTGGGTCCACGGCCAGAGGTCACAAGGTCACCGAGCCCTCCAGTCTCCCTTCATCTCCGTTCTCCACCGAGCTCCAGGAGCAGTTTCTGGGGTTCCTGTGGGGTGGAGGGTCTATGGGAAATGAGATGGCCAGGATCCTCGGAAGGCCCCAGTGAGGTCTCACGTGTCGCCTGTGGGGATTTCCCCCTCTCACTTTTGAGGGGTGGGGGGCATGTAATAATAGATTTCCTAGGCGTGGAGGGGCAGAGTCCCGCTGCGGGCTTTCCCGCACTTAAGGAACCAAAGCAGAAAGCCCGCCTCAAGCTCCCACAGTCCAGAACTGGCCAGGATTGAGCCGCGGGTTCACTTTCCTCCGATTTCGGAAAATCGAAATTTTAAGAAACACGGGGCTCCGATTAATAGCGCACCCAGATGCGACTGCGGGGCCCCTATGGAAGAGGCAGGAGGGTGCACCAGGATCACCGATCCAAGGTGGTTGTCCCCACCCTTACTCCACCGGACACATCCTGCCACCCCCTTCCCACACCTGTCCTCTTCCCCGAGCCTCCAGCTCGTCGGGCGCCGTTCCACAGCCACTTCTCATCGCAGCAGGGAAGCCACAACGAGATTTGATCTTCGAGGGCATGTAGGCGGGGGCTACAACGAATCCGGGAGTCTGCAAGCAGGACCCATCGGGCGGCGAAGAATAAGGGCTGGGGGAGGAGGCACCTGCCGAGGAAGACGAGGCCGAGGAAGTCCAAAGACGGAGGCCAGTGAGGATGGAGGGACCGTTAGCATCTCGGCTGACTCAGCTCCAGCTGGGAGCCTGGTTCCTAACGCCCTCGCCACCTCCCCCCACCCCCATCCCTGCGGGTCAGTCTTCAAGCTTGGCGCAAGCAGGCGTCTCTTCCCCTTTAACAGGCCCGGCCCCGCCCCTGCCCTACCCCCAGCCCCCACTACCCACCCGGGGCTGATCTGTCAGTCACAGCCCCAGCCGTTGCCGGCCAACCCTCTCCACCCTGGACTCGGGCAGCGACCCGGCACCCCAGCGTCCATCTGCGGCTCAGAGCCAGCAAGGGCTCTCCTGGGGCCCCGGCTCCCTGCTTTTCCCGGGATGAGAGTCTCTACGCGGACCGTGGACAGCGGAGCGCACGGGCGCGGCTGCTCCCTGTGCACAGGGATGCTGCTGTCACAGGGGCCCCAAGGCCCCGCGGTGGCTAGCCCCGCGGGTCCCTGAAACCGCTGTCCTGAGCACGCCGCCGCCGGGCTCCCGGAGCAGGGCGCACTCCCCAATCGCTGAACCTCCCGAGGTCCTCTCTGGCCCGGACCCATGGAGCCGGCTGTTCTGGCTCCACACAACCTCCCGCACCACGAGCCAATCAGCTTTGGCATTGATCAGATCCTGAGCGGTCCCGAACCCCAGGGGGGCAGCCTAGGCCCCGGCCGCGGGGGCCCGGGTCACGGGGAGAACGCGGCGTTCTCGGGTGGATTCCACGGAGCCTCGGGTTATGGCCCGGCGGGTTCGCTGGGCCCGCTGCCCGGCAGCTCCGGCGTTGGCCCAGGCGGCGTGATCCGCGTTCCGGCTCACCGCCCGCTGCCCGTGCCGCCGCCTGCGGTGCCTGGGCCCTCGGGTTTGGGCGGCGCCGGGGGCCTAGCTGGACTCACCTTCCCCTGGATGGACAGCGGCCGCCGCTTCGCCAAGGACCGGCTCACGGGTGAGGTTGTCCGGCCCCTCCAAACTCATGCTCCATGTTGACACAGTTTCCTTGTCTCTGATCCTTCTGCCTCAACCCCAGAGCCCTTTTCAGTGTGTGCCCTCCGGCTTATCCCAGGGGATCCTCCCCTAACTCGGATCCCTTGATCTGGCCGCTGAGAGGCGACCGGGATGGAGCTGCCGTCGGTGCCTGCACCTCCCTCTACCGTCCCACTGTCCACACCGCGGGGAGGGGAGCATGCTGTTATGGGGGCTGTCTCTCCCTCACTCCAGGGGGAGAAACGTTTCTTCCGAGGCCCTTTTTGGTTTAGGGACCTCCACTGATGGTGGGCCAATCTTGGGGTCCGGGAATTCTGCAGGCGTGAACAACCGCGCTCTCTTCTCAGTGGCCCCCCGCAAACTCGGCCCTGGTCCTTCGTCCTCCCCGCAGCTGCACTCTCGCCCTTCTCTGGGACGCGCCGCATAGGTCACCCGTACCAAAACCGGACCCCCCCGAAACGGAAGAAGCCGCGCACGTCCTTCTCACGCTCGCAGGTGCTGGAGCTAGAGCGACGTTTCCTGCGCCAGAAGTACCTGGCCTCCGCCGAAAGGGCGGCGCTGGCCAAGGCCCTGCGCATGACCGACGCACAGGTCAAGACCTGGTTCCAGAATCGGCGCACCAAGTGGCGGTGAGGCGCGGGCTGGGCGAAGGCGGGCTGACACTCGAGGGCAGGTCCAGGTGGCAGTTAGGCACCAAGTGTGCAAGGGTGGGTTGGGGCTCACGAACCAGACCCACTGGCGGGGAGGCGAGGCCTAGCTGATGTCACATCTCTGCCCGCCCAGGCGCCAGACGGCCGAGGAGCGCGAGGCCGAGCGGCACCGCGCGGGCCGCTTACTCCTGCACCTGCAGCAGGACGCTCTGCCGCGGCCCCTTCGGCCACCACTGCCCCCGGACCCGCTCTGCTTGCACAACTCGTCGCTCTTCGCGCTTCAGAACCTGCAGCCCTGGGCCGAGGACAACAAGGTGGCCTCCGTGTCTGGGCTTGCTTCGGTGGTGTGAGCGAAGCTCGCTGGACCTGCCGAGCGCTCTTTTTCGGACCGAGGCGCTTCCTGGAGCACCCCGCCAGGGTCGGTGGAGCGCGAGGCTGCCCCCTCTCGCTGTCTTGTAGCAGCGGTGCATGTAAGAAGCAGCCGCCCTTGAGGCTATCGTCGAGGGCTCGTAGGGCATCTGCAGGCTCCCAGGCGGACGTTGAGCCACCCTACCTGCCCACTCAGACTCGGAATTTCCCGCCATTTCTCAACGGCCGTTGCGCCGGATGGAACCTAAAGCACCAAGGGGGCGGGACCTGTGGGCTGGTAGCCAATGAGGTACTGGGAGGAGGGCGGGCTGGCCAACGGGAGCTGTTCCCCGGAGAGACTCGGGATTTGGCCGGGTGGATGGGTCGCGAGCTCCGGTTTTAGGCGGGAGCAGCGTCTGAGTCGATGCTGCGAAGGGGCAGCCGAGTCTCGCGCCAGCTGTGTCTATATAGAAAGCTGTGAAGAAAGGAAGACACTAACGACAGCAAAGGAATGAAAGAGGTGCCTCGCCGGAGTGCCGGGAGTATGTGTCTGGAACCAGAGTTGTCCACGCTGGGCACCTCATCTCTCAACTGTAAAATAATCGCTAAGGATTCCTTGCAGCAACAAAACTGACTATGAGTCTCATGTTGTCTTGTGTGTTCAGCCTGCTGACTATCTCCTCCCACTTGATCCTCACAACGTGCCTGGAAGGTAGGCCAGACAGATATATTATACACCAAAGGAAAGAGGAAATCTGGTGAAATTAATCTGGCTCTGGTATCTACCAAAGAGGAGACGAGGAAATGGTGGACAAAGTTAATGGGCTCAGTGGAATTAGGGTGAGACGAATTTGGTGAATAATTTAGAAGTAACAGGGCTAAGAAGTGTCAAAAATAATTCCAAGGTTGGAAATGTGGAGCAGGAGGAAGTCAGTGATACTATGGATAATGAAGGGGAAACTGGGAAGACTGGAGCAAGATTACCTGTAGGCAAACTAGCTCCTATAGAGATAATAAATTCTGGACAGTACCTTTATCAAAGGGCTTTGAACTGGTTCATTCCAGTTTGAGCCCTGCTGAGAATTTTCATTTCCACCTCAGATATACTGACTCAGAATCTACAGTTTAACAAGAGCCCCAATGGATTCTTCTGTATACTTGAGGATCTTGTTAAACTGTAGATTCTGATTCAATGTATCTGGAGTAGAAATGCAAATTCTCAGCAGAAGGTCAAACAAGAATGAATTGGTTTGAAGCTCTGCTTTGCTAGAGGTCAGCTGTCAACCACATAGGGTGTAGATAGATGAAATGATGAGAACAGATAGAATCTCCAAGGGAGAGCACTCTGAGGAGAAAAGCAGAGTCCCAAGGACTTTCTTTCCATCAAATTCTACATATTTACAATGTGCAACATGCTGGATGATATAAAAATTAATAGTCCAAGGGAAGAAAAGGGGATGTAGTGCCCAGCTTGAAAGAAAGGAGAACATGATATCTCTGAAGTTGTTTGAAAAGACTTTTAGCTTGTGGGTAGGTCAGGGGCTGCTTAGAAAGTTGTTGGAAAGTTGAAAAGATAGTTGCAATAGACTTAAGATTTAAAAAGAAGCAAGATTTAAGTTGTATGAGGACAAAAGGGAACATTTTGTCGGAGCCTGATTACACCCTCATTTCTTTCTCCCGTTGGGGCTGGAGCAATGTGACAGAAGGAAGTGAGCGATAGGCAAGGCCAGAGGCCAGCTGTAGCCAAACTGCTTATCTTCTGTGCTAATGACAGCTATGTCAGTCATAGTGTAAAGACTTGACCAGAGTTAGGAACCAGGCAGGGGGCAATGACTAGAGGAGTTTGCCGTGGATCTTTGATATAGTATCATCTCTGACTCATGGATGTTGTATATGGTGCTGCAGAACCGAACTCAAATTTGGGGTCACTGAAAAGTTTTTTATAGAGCAATAGGGAGCACAAGGTTGGGTTTGACTTAAGTTGGGGGAGGAGCATGTCACTTCCTCTCCAAGCCACTTTCCTCTGGCTAAGGAAAGGGTCTACATTATATAAACTGTAGCTTACCCCATTCTCTCTACTCCCAGTCCACCATTTTTTGGGACTCAGGCTCCAGGCTTTACACTTGATCCTAAGCTTTGGGCTTTAAAATCTGGATGCCTTGGTGCTAGCCCAAGGGAGGATCTAATGTGAGGCGATGAGGTCAGTTTCATTCCTTAGGCAGGTCACTGCAGGACACAGGCATTTCTGAGTTCCTGGGTGGAGGATTCACTCCCTGCTAAAGAATCTGTCATTTCTTCCCTCAGCTGGTTCAGGAGATCTCTGCTCTCACTGGGAGGTAAGTTACTCAGGAAGTATGGGGGTGCCAGCTCCACCAGCCTGTCAGAGAGAGTCATAATTAGATGATCTATCTTCTCTTATAATGTAGATTTTAAAACTTTTCACCATCTCTACCACAAACCCTCTCCTCTCAAAGAATACTTTACCACAGACCACAAAGATTCCCTCCTTCTCTGAATTCCCAGCCATAATTTGGTCCCAGGGAGAGGAATGGGCAATGTAGGAGGGGTGTCAGGGAACTCACATCTGTGGTTGAATCTCAGAAACAATGGAAAGGCAGTTGTCTTTGGAAATGGAGAAATTGTGGTAAAGCACCCAAGGTGGGGGTCTGGCTGGGGCCCTGCGGCTTCTGTAGCAGCAATAAGGGGAGAGCTGGGCCACATGCTTATGGGTTAGAAGCAGGTAATTTCCAGTTCCATCTGTGTCTCGGGCCACCTCATTGAAAAGACAAGATATTAAAGGAATAAGTGAGAGGGGAGAGGCAGACAGTAGGAAAAAAAAAGGGGGGGAACTGAGTAAGGGCAGGGGTGTGTGTGTGTGCAGAATCAAAAGTAAAGTATTACCTCTAAATGTTAGGCAGTCCTTACCATACCATATGGCATTTCCATAGCCCTTTGTACCCCAAAACCTCAAAGGAGAAGTCTCTCCTGGTTCCAAAGAATTCTCCAAGTTTCAGAGATGGCATACCAATATTTGCTCCCCCTGCCTCTCCTCACCCTCACCCCAACCCTTTCCCCTAACCTGGAGGAAGTATCCTGACACCAGTGCTTTTTGAAGGTCTCTACGGTTCTGCTCAGAGCCAAAAGCTGGTTGGGACAAGGGGAGTTCAATTTGATGCATGAGTTCTAGGAGCTCTCCCCGAACTTTACGGGCTTGGCACAATGCTGCCCAGTTTAGACCCCGAGCCTGGCACCAAGCTTCATCCTCCCCACCTAAGAGAAGAAAGGAACCAGCTACAATTAAAGTCCCTGAGACCCCTAAAAGAACCCAACCCTTGGCCACAGAGCCTCCTCCTCCTTGGCACAGACATTTGTCAGCTGGTTGCACATTACTTCCCTTCTCTGGGGAATCTGGAATTCCATAAGAGGGTGCAGAGTGAGCCACTCACTCTGTATAAAGGCTTCATACACCTGAATCAGGGAGCTGTGGTCACCATCTGCATGCTCCAGGGCACGGCGCAGAGCAGCTTCTTCTGCACAGAGTGGAGGATGGGTAAACCCAGGGGCAGCTGGAAAGAGAAGAAAGGAAAGTCATTTTAGGGAATCAGAAAGGACAGCAGTACAGTATTTGGTGAAGGTGTAGATCTGAAGAGGTAGAAGCATCTGTTTGGGAGCTTTATTCAAAACACAGATAGATACTAGGAGCCACACACTTTATTAGACATTGAGGATAAGTAAATAAAGACCATCTCTACCCTCAGAATCTGCTTAGAAACTGGTGGGAGAGACCAACAGGTAAGCAAACTCGATAAGCATGATAGATATATGATATTCTGGAAGCAAAATGAGGGGCACCTCATTCAGCCTTTGGGTGGGAAGGAAGGTGTTATGGGAAAAGAAGAAAACCCTAGGGCCAATATTTGAAGTCTGAGAATGAATTAGCTCAGTGGTGAAGGGGTGGGGTGGAGAGTATATTCTAGACTGTGGGAACAGCATGGCACAGAATTAATATCATGGCCTATCTGGAGGACTGCAAGCTGCTTAATATGGAATGGAGGGAATGGCCTGTGTGGCAGAGTGGAAGGAGATAAAGCTGGAGAGGTGGGTATAGGCCAGGTTGTGAAAGGCTGCATGTGTTGTGCAAAGGAATTTACATTCTGTCTGTCTTGAGCTGTTGAAAAGGAGTTCTTAAGTGAAGGGAGTCCCACGTGTTCCAAAAAGCTGTTTCCAAAAATATCGTTTAAAAAACTCACAGTCATAAGAATCTAACATTGGTACTGGCAGTGAATGTGAAGAGATGAATTAAAACAAAAAACAAGCTAGTAACTTGGAGAAAGATTAATCTAGAATTATGGTAGTGGACCTGCAGAGATAATGGTGTTATCTGAAATTGAGAATACAGAGGAACAGATTTTGTGGTGGTGGTGAGAGGGTATTTAAGAGAGTGCATACTGATTTGAGGTACTGTGGACTACTCTGGTAGAAATCAGGAGTCAAGTATTAGATCTAATATAATATCTTAGTCACAGTAGATCTAAGATCCAGAAGAATGGTATTGTCAGGGAGATACAGATTTTGGAAGTTTTAAGTATAAAGATGGCAGTACAAACCATGGATGTTGATGAATGTGCTGAGAGTTCAGGGAATGAGAAGATACAAGGGGCAAGGTAAGAATGCTGAGGACCAATTTACAGTGGATGAGCAGAGGCCCAACAACATAAGGAAGAGATTAAGGAAATGGCTAGAGAAGTAGGATTAAAACCACAAAGAGTAGTATCACAGAGGCTCAGGAAGGGGGCAGTTTCAAGGTGGGAATTGGTCAGCACTCTCAATTGTCAAAAGAAGTTTATAAAGAATAAGGGCTCAAAAGTGTCCATTGGATTAGGGAGGTCACTGGTATGCTTGAAGCGGTTTCAGTGTGTGCTGGGTTCTGAAGGTGGAAAGTAGTGGGTGAAGAATACATTAGATAGAAAAGGACAGAGATTAAGTTGTATACTTAAAGGAGAGAGGGGTATATGAATCTTAATAATAACAGACGGGAGAGATGTAATCAAGGGGCAGGAACCAGCAGAGAGAAACAGCTAAAGGAACAGGAGCGGAATAATAGATTAAGTCTGGTTCTTTAGGCACTGTGAGGGGTGGGAATTTAGAGCACAGAGGAAAGGGCTAGCCTGAGGAGTAGCAAAATACAAAGGGGAAGAATTTAGTGGCTGCTGGAGCCAGAGGGAGGGGATTTATACCAGTGAGCATGGCTGCGAGAGTGAGCATCTCATCCACACAGCCAAACTCGCAGGAAGCCAGCAGGGCTTTGGCCAATTCAGGGGGCAGGGGGAACTCGGATAGGATGACTCCCAAGTCTGATAGGTCACCATCATCATCCAGGGCAGCCAGATAGTCTAAGTCTTCCAGTGCCTGCATCAGTGCTTCAGGAGCTGGCAAGGAAATAGGGCTTAACAGGGTCTGAGGCCTCAGAGCCTGGTACTCAGATGGCAGGATTTGGGCAGGGGGGTTGTTCACCTGGCCGGTCCAGGAAGTGCCACTCTCCTGGCTCTGCAATCTGTCTCCTTTTTAGTAGTAATATCAAGGGGCTCAGATTCTCCTCACACACTCTGGGTTGGGGCATGAGGGGAGCCTCTAGTTCTAAGAAGGACTCAGGATATAGGCAGATACAGGATCCTAAGGGGAAAAAAATCCAGGAAATATTACTGCTATAGATTTCTTAGGGCTGTGTGTTGGTGACTCTTCTCAGGTTTGCTCTCAGGGAGGGTAAAGCTCATACCTGATGGGAACCCTCTTGCCCGCAATTGTCTTGCCTCTGCCTGACGCTTGCTGATGCGCCTCAATACTTGGGATTCTGCTCGGATCTGAGGATTGTAAACCTGACACCCGTACCCCCCAACCAAGGTCAAGACAGATCAGAGTGGGCCTTTTCTATTCTTACCTCCACATCCCCCCTCCGTCTCTCTCACTCACACTTCGAAGCTCCAATCCTGAGTCAATGACATGTCGGATGGAAGGGAGGGAGAAGGAGAAGTCAGCCAGCCAGTGACTGACTACGATTTTCCGGGCACTGGCATCTGTGTCCTCATATAGAGCCTGAACAGCATGACCGCAGCTTAGGTGAAGGGGCAGCAACTGTAGGTGAGGCCCTTGGGGGTTCTGGGATGCCACCTCCCTGGACAAGGATTCACAGCACAGGGAAATTTCCTGAGGAGAGGGGTGGGGTATTAGGACAGTTCTTATCTTAGATCCTAGACCTCTTCTGAAAAACTGATGAAAATTGTGGCCCTTCCTTTTACCCTGAAAAATGTACATACTCATACAACTGGGAGTGTTAATTTTAGCAGTTCAGTGAACCACAAATCTCTTCAATAGAGGGAATTGGGAAGAGGGCAGTAGACTTCTTTACCCTGAGATAAACTTGAGTTTTTTCCATAATACCTCAGCAGAGTAATAAACACTGTAACTCCACTGTTGTTCCCTTTTCCCCAGGACAGGAAGGTGGCACACACGAGCACCCCCTTTTGTAGTCCGTTTTTTTACCTCTTCGCTGGGCAGGTACACTAGCACGTCACCTGGAGCTTCCTCTTGGCACAGCGCAAGCACAGCCTGGCAGGCGGCTTCCACCCGGTCTGCTGGGACAGTGTCCCTGTAGATGAGGGTGGGACTCCCGCAAGGCTTTCTGGGGACATACACAATAGGGGCATTGTCCCAGAAGTCTTGGAGCTTGGACTCAAGGGCTGGATCAGATACCACAACTATTCTGAGGTCCCCTGGGAGATTTCCCAGCTTGGCATCTCGCAATAGCCCCTGGAGTAAATCCGAGGCCACTGACCGCTCCTGGACCTCATCCAACACTAGCACGTCCCAGGCTCCAGTGCCCCGGGTTGAGGCCACCTCCTGCAAAAGCAGCCTGTCCCAGCAGAACCTGTTGACATTGGTGTGAACAGGTGAGTCAGTGTGGACACAAGCCAGCCCCAGAAGTCTAGTGGAGCTTCTCCCCCAGGGGACCTAGATGTTAATGTTGAAGGTAAGAAAAAGACCCTGTGACTGACTTCCTGAGCCTGTGGACCCATAATTGTGTCCCCACAACCCCACTGAATACACTGTTCACAGGCTATACACCAGCTCAGAAAGCAGTATTTTCACAAATGTCTAAGGTTCCTAGGTGGTTAAAAGGGCTTAATTTAGCAGTTGCTTATCTGTCTGATTTGGGCTGTCAATATGAGTTGGGCTGAGGTAGAGTATAGTGGGATGACAGAGGCACTGGTTTATACAGAGGGAGGAGGGATTCAATTTGGTCAGGCCTGGAGGAGGCCCCACCTGAGCAGAGTGTTGGGCCCAGTGCAGTCCTCCTGGGGGATGCTGTATCCAACCTCATGACCTAGGGTCAGGTCCATCTCATCCGCAACCCGCACAGCCAGGCTCAGTGCTGCCAGAGGGTAGGGCTGAGTGACTGTTACTTGGCCCTTCTGGAAACCCCTGGCCAGTGCAAACTCTGCACACCATTGAGGGATCTGGGATAGGCAAGGACAACCAGTTAGGGAGATGGACTTCAGTCAAGACATGCTGGGGGAACTATGGCCAATTTAATCTTTTCTTTAGGGAGCCCTCTGATCCTTCACCAACCATGCTGGAGCCAACCTATCTCCCTTTGCCCATCTCCCTATGACCTCACACAGCCCAGTACCCCTTGCTTAGGGAAGGGACAGTTCCATAGTCCCTCCCTTTGTCCACTCCCAGAATCTCTCCCACCTGGGTGCTCTTGCCAGAGCCAGGCTCCCCAGATACCAACACCACTCCGCTGGGACTATTCTCCAACTGCTCCAAGAAGATAAATCGAGCAGCCCAGATAGGCAAGGCTCTCCGCTGCTCAAGCAACTTGTAGTAGCGGGAAGAGAAGGGGAGCCCATCAAAGGGATTCACAGCCAGTTCAGACTCCCCAGGGCTTTGACTGGACTCTTCTGCCAGCCCAAGGGGCTGTGAGGTCATGGTGGATATTGGGTAGGACCTATAGAAGGCAGGGCAGCCAGTCAGGCCTCAAATTTGGCAACTGACACCAACTTCCCACTTTAGTCTGGATCCCGAACCTCTACCCTCAGGTGATGACCTAGGATCCATCCTCCCTAGTACTACTTGCCTACCAGGAAAAAGTGCTGAGTGTTTGAGTATCCAAGTAAAAGCCCCCCAAAACCAAACCCATTGCTGTGGACTCGGACTCACAGTGACCCTATAGGACACAGTAGAACTACCCTATAGAGTTTCCAACACTGTAAATCTTTCTCCCATGGAGTGGCTGGTGGGTTTGAAGCACCAACCTTTTGGTTAGCAGCCAAGTGCTTAACCACTGTGCCACCAGGGCTCCTCTCTCTAAGACACTATCAAATGTAGACGATTATCCTGTAGTCAGGTAGTAAATACCTTGTGACTAACGCAGAAATCCTCAGAGGGGTAAGAATCTGGGCAGCAAGGCAAAAAGAATCCTGGATTCAAACCTGCTTATAGCTCTGAGATACCAGGATGGCTGCCAGTTCCAGAAGCCACCAGCTAACTGCCACCAACCCTGACCTGTATAAAGTACAAAGGTAAATTCCGGCTCCACCCTGGGAGTTGTCTCAAACACAAATCCTAACCTGGTGTGGGGGTGGTACCATTTGCTCCACCCTATTTTACTTAGTCAGGAGCCTATGGTAAACAGGTTTCCGCCACTACACTGAGCATGTGTGAACCCTATATATGACATGTACTAGTGAAAGGCATCTTGGGACTTGTAGTTTTGTAGCTTCCCCCCCCTCACCCAAACCTGGGATAAACACCCAAGCAGCTGGGATCCAGTTGTTGTTGGGTTTTCAGTTCAGTTACACTTCCTTAGTATCACTCATCTCTCAGCCTTAAGGTGATTTCTGACATTCACCATAAACTCATAAGGAGGTCCTTGCTCCCATTACCCCAAGCAAGGAAAAGCCCCCTGTTCAGGGGGTTTTGAGACCCAAAGAAGCAACAAAGACCTTGAATGAAAACCCTGAATTTAATGTGATATTGGGGGAGCCCCAACCCTCCCTTTACACCACCCACCCATCCAGCCTGTTGTGAGTTGGGTGAGGGCTACCCCCAGTCTCCGTCCTGCGGCTCTGGGTGCCATCCTGTTCCTTTGAGTTCAGTCAGCCTCCTGGGCCTGTCTCTCTGTGAATCTCCTGTGGGACATAGAAGACATTGTGTGGGCTTTGCCATCTGAGCTCCAGGATTTCCATCTCCAGTCTGCTCCTTCCTACCTGTTGTCCTCTATCCTCCTCACCTTCTTGCATATTCATAAAGTGCCTGCTTGCGCTCCTGCAGGCTCTCCTGCCGGGCCCAGGAGGACTTGGCAAATGTTAGGGCTGTGGGCTGAGGGGTCACTGAGCCAGAGCTGGGGAACTGAGGTGATCACAATGTCAGAAGGCTTGCGAAGTCATCATCACTAAACTTGCATCGAGTGCCTACTTTGCAAGAGAGGCACTGTGCTAGCATCTCAGGATCAAAAAAGAGAGGTCAAGGCTAGGGAGCATTGAGGACTCCCCCTTCTCACCACAGTCTTGGAACTGACCCTCATTTTCTGGGTCTCACCTTCAGGGCAGAAGCACTAGGAAAGGACTGGGTCCCCTCTGTGAGCTCTTCAGGCATGAAGGCTACAGCCCCCTCAAGCAGATTAGTGATGGTCAAGTCTACACAGCCAGTCCTGGCTAGGGAGAATGGAAGAGAAAAAAAGAGTAGTTTCTGCTCACTTTTCTTCTCACAAACCACTTGTCTTCTTGTGTGAGGCCACCCTTTTCCATACCCAGGTCTCTTTGGATGACTCCCAGTGGCACATGGGGCAAAACCTCCTTGACTCTCTGAGCCAGAGTTGCCAGATGCACATCAGGAGAAGGGCCAGGGGAGGGAGGGGAAGAAGACTGGGCTGCAAAAAAGAAATGAGAAACATAGTGACTACAGAACTAGGAGGAAAAGTTGGCTAACTAGCAGAAAAGAAGAAAAAAAATCACAATAGGGTGAAAAATGTATATAAAGACCACACACCTGACTGGGTATGTAACCTGGGGTGTCTCTGTCGCTTCATATGCTCTGCTTTGTCTGCTGGAGTGAGCCGTGTTCCTGTCTGGCCCAATTCCTTGGCTACCAGCTAGGGAGCATTGGAAGGTCAGAAGTATAAAGTGAGCCCTCAAGCCTTTTTTCATCTTCCTTTAAGGAGAGAAACCCACCTCTACCCTACTTGTGTACCCCATCACCTGTTGTACCCGGAGAGCAAACTCCTCATTTCCCTCTCCCAGCTGGCGATGAACAGGACGGAGCCACCTACAAAAAAAAAAACACAAAAAAACCAATCCAGGGCCATGTTGTGAGCACCCAGGGTAAAGGCTGTCTTTCCCTCCTCACTGTTGGTACCTCTTCTTACGAGAAGTGGTGGTAAGGGTGTGAAGATAGTAAATACTTTGTGTTGCTTCTGTGGTACAACCTTGAAATTAAAAGATCTGCCAAGTAGAGAGGACAGAGATATCTACTTCTTTGACCTTGAAATGAGTTTCTCCCCAACCACCAAAAAGTGAGGATAGTTAGTACCTTACTTGATACAGTGTGAAAGGGACGAAAAGTGACCACAGCAGTTCTGAGACCCAGGAGGCATCTGACACCGTCTGAGGGAATGGAATGAAGTGAGGCCTGAGCTAGAGGTGGAAAACTTCTCCTCTTAGCCCTAGAAATTCCTTATACAACACATACTCACCACAGAGACCAGGGGTCTCTGAACTTTCAGGGTAAGAGGTTGTACGACATCGTGGATAGAAAATGGCCAAGAACTAGAAGGAAAAGAAGAGAACAGGATTGAAAGAAGAGTCCAGCTAGCCCAATCAACAAGTACTTGACTTAAAACAGGACCCTGTCAAACTGTACGACTATGTAGGCTGGGTATAAAGTGATCTGGGGGGCTTGGGGTGAGAAGGGCTAACCAGTAAGGTGAAAACCCAAGAGCCTCCAAACATGACCGTTTACCCAATTGGAGTCCAATACTTATGTTTATCCACCTGAAGTGCAGGAGCCCCTCCCGGCCATTTGTGGCCTCCTCCTCAGGGAACAACAGCAGAGGGGTGGCGGGAAACCTCGTGGAAGCGCAGAATCTCTTGAGTGATTCCACCAACTCCCCACGCCCATCCATCTCCATGAAGCCCCGAGACCAGCACACAAAGCTGGGAGGACTATTGAGCAGAGGCTGGAAAGAGGAACAGAAGAATAGAGAGAAATGAGAAAATCTGCTGTGTGAGGTGGAGAAGTGCGTTAAAAGTATCTCGTGGTCCTGAAGGGAAACTCGAGGAGGCAGGTGGAGGGACAGAAGGAAGTCTTAAGCTAGGTCCAAGGGAACCGCTTCTAGGGTGCTCTTTGGCTTTGGCTTCGTCCCCACTTACGGTGCTACAGCTGGTGAGCAGATTGACCATATTGTGGTCAAAAGGTGTCACGTGGTTGGAAATGAGAACTCTGACGCGGTGATCTCGGTGTCCTGAGTCCTCCTCCCGGGCCACGAGCCCCAGCACCGCACACATGGTCCGCACCACGAACCTGGAGACGTAGGCAGTGATGAATGCGTGGCCTCCGCCCGGCCCACCCCTGACCCTCCCCGAGCGCCTGGGTCCAAACCTGCGGAGGACGCTGTCTGGCAGCGCGCAGCTGACCAGGAAGACGTGGATCCCGAGAAACAGGCGCAGGACGAGGAGGCAGAACCCGACGGGCGCGTAGAGCAGTAGCGCGAGAAGCAAGAAGCCGTCACCCGGGAGCCTGTAGGCGAGACACAGGATGATCGTGCGCCGAAGCCGGGGGGACGCGGAAGTCCGCCCCTTCCCGCTGAGGCGCTTACCGGTGCGAGTCAAAGAGCCGCTCCGGCCCCGGTGCTGGGGGAGGCTCCATCGCTGCTGTTTTAGGAGAGCCCTGCTATTGCCGCCGCCATCTTCGCACCCCGCCGCAGGGTATACTGGGAAGGCGGAGTCTTTGGGCATCCGCCCAGTGTGTTGGAACCTGAAATCCAACACAGGCGCCCCGGAAGGGCTAGCGCTCCCAGCGTTCCCCGCGGCCCTTTGAGTCGCCTCAGAACTCAAGTCCCGTGAGGACCACAATTCCCAGAATTCACGGAGGCGGGGTCGTAGTCGCCTCTCGGAATCCTGGGTCCCGGCGTGCAGTTCTAGAGGACTTCAGGTACCAGCGTGCTATGCGTCCAGTCTGCATCTTCCAGGGCACCGCCTCTGAGTAGGGCGGGCGAGGAGACTGCCAAGGCGGAGCTGATGGCTGCGCTGAGGGCGGGGCGGGGTGCCGGCTGGGGCCTCCGGGAATGGCGGGCTTTAGGGGGGATTCGCTGGGGAAAGGGACCCCTGTTGACCCCTGACCTCCGGGGCTTGCTGACGTCAGGAACTTCTGACCCCCGGGCCCGGGTGACGTATGGGACCCCCAATCTCCGGGCCCCGTTGTCTGCAGGGTTCTCTGGGTCCCGGGCATGTCTGACTTCGGGGACCCCGGATCCCCGAACACGGCTAGCCGCTGAGATCCCGGATTCCCAGACTCGGGAGGCCTCAGGGGCTCCTGGGGTCCGTCTGGGTGTGTGGTTGGCAGTGGCCTTGGGCGCCGGAGGGGCTGTGCTGTTGTTGTGGGGCGGGGGGCGGGGTCCCCCGACCGTCCTTGCCGCGGTCTCTAGCCCGCCTCCCCCTTCTCCCCGGAGCCAGTACAACTTTATCGCAGACGTGGTGGAGAAGACGGCACCTGCCGTGGTCTATATCGAGATTCTGGGCCGGTAACGGTGGGGTAGACCGGGAGGCACCGAAGCCGCGGGCTGGAGGGTGGGCGAATAGGAGGGGTTAGAGCTTCTTCATATCCAAGCTATTCCTCCCGTCCAGGCACCCTTTCTCGAGCCGCGAGGTCCCTATCTCAAATGGTTCAGGATTCGTGGTGGCTGCTGATGGGCTCATCGTTACCAATGCCCATGTGGTGGCTGATAGGCGCCATGTCCGTGTGAGGCTGCCCAGCGGCGACACGTATGAGGCCATGGTCACAGCTGTGGATCCCGTGGCAGACATTGCTACCCTTAGGATTCAGACCGAGGTGGGAGTCAGGGTAGGCCAGGTCTGACTGGAGTTGTGAATTTGCTTCCATCTCCAGGTGACAGACCTTTTGCACCCATTCTCCCTTAGGAGCCTCTCCCCACACTGCCTCTGGGACGCTCAGCGGATGTCCGGCAAGGGGAATTTGTTGTTGCAATGGGAAGTCCCTTCGCGCTGCAGAACACTATCACATCCGGCATTGTCAGCTCTGCTCAGCGCCCAGCCAGAGACCTGGGATTGCCCCAAACCAATGTGGAATACATCCAGACTGATGCAGCTATTGATGTGCGTCCTGATGTGAGAGAAATGACAATCTAGGATGGGGGTAAAAGGGAAGTTGTGTGGTGCAGACACCACCTGTCATACCTAGTGGATAGCCTGCAAAAGCTTAGTCCCTTAAAAAAAAAAAAAAAAAGAATGTTGCTACTTATTCAGGGGCTGGGAAAGGAGATGAGAATTTGGAGAATGTCTACATCCTAGTCATGCCTCTAGCCTTGGAGTCCCAGGATTTCTTCCATTTTCTCCTCCCGCAGTTTGGAAACTCTGGAGGTCCTCTGGTGAACTTGGTGAGTAGGACAGCCTTCCAAGAACTCTGCCCCAGGTCAGTGTGGGAAGGGTGGATCTTCCCTAATTCCACGATATTTGGTCAAGTTTCTGAGCAGTCTTTTATTGGCTATCCCCCAGTATCCAGCCAGATCTCCCTAACACTCCCAGCTACTCTTGTTCAGGTGCTCCCCCATCCCCTACTATTTGTTTGGGCTAGGGAACAGGGGCCTGTGTCCCCGCAGGATGGGGAGGTGATCGGGGTGAACACCATGAAAGTCACAGCTGGAATCTCCTTTGCCATCCCTTCTGATCGCCTTCGAGAGTTTCTGCATCGTGGGGAAAAGAAGAGTGAGCTTGATTTAAGGGAGAAGGGAATTCCTTTAAGTGGTGGGTGGAGTATAAGGGAGGGGCATTCACCTGGATTTACTGGGAGAGGGATCTGCTGGGAGGAGGGGGAGGATGGATGTAGCTGGGTGGGCCTCATCCATTCCTCTATCACAGATTCTTGGTTTGGAGTCAGTGGGTCCCAGCGCCGCTACATTGGGGTGATGATGTTGACTCTGACTCCCAGGTATGAGTGTCGGGTAGAACCACCAGTGGGCAAAGGGCACCTTAGCTGGGCTTTGTTCTTATTCCTGTCTTTAAGCTGCCTTATACCTAGAGCTGTTAGAATAGTTGTCCCCTGTTATCATCTTGACTTTCTCCCCACTTTATTTTGCACACCTGCAGCCTAGATTGATTTTATCCTGTTACTGCTTTGACTTAAAGCCTTCAATCCATTAACCTCTATCTCCAACTCAACCTCTCAGACTATGCTTCTGTTACTTCCTAAATGAATACTGTTCCACCCAACCTTATTTCCTACTTTGTTTTTATTTATGCTGTTTTTGCTTATATAGTTAAATATCAGACTCATCTAATATTAAGTCCTCCTGTGTCCCAAAGTTTCTCTTAAGATTCTAGAATGACATTTGTGCTATTAACACTGTGTGTCATTTGGAATTCATTATCTTTTATGCATGTGTCACTTTCTAATTGCTAAAAAGCAGAAAGTTAATTGCCTTTGTGTCTGTAGTACCTAGCACACGCCATGTCCATAGAGTTGTCACTGTGTTGATGAGAGACTTAAGGTGAACCCATGATGGAGAAAGCACCTGAGTGTGGCTAACAGGGTGGTCTGTGTCCTTTCAGCATCCTTGCTGAACTACAACTTCGAGAACCAAGCTTTCCTGATGTTCAGCATGGTGTACTCATCCATAAAGTTATCCTGGGCTCCCCTGCACACCGGTGAGGGCAAGACTGCACTGTGTGTGTGTGTGTGCACATGTGTGCAAAAGAGCTGTACACTCCCTCCTTTCTCTTTCTTCCTAGGGCTGGTCTACGGCCGGGTGATGTGATCTTGGCCATTGGGGAGCAGCTGGTTCAAAATGCTGAAGATGTCTATGAAGCTGTTCGAACCCAATCCCAGCTGGCAGTAAGGATCCGGCGGGGACCAGAAACACTGACCTTATATGTGACCCCTGAAGTCACAGAATGAAGGGATCAGCAAGGGTCTGAGGCTCCTGCTCTGATTTCCTCCCTGCCTTCCTGGCCTGGGATCCTAGGGCACGTCGGCAAAGGACTAAATGAACCAGTGGAGGGCAGGTCCCTCCAGCCACCAGCACCAATCCCTGGGTTGAAGACTCACAAAAACACTTTTTATATAAAATAAAATTATATCTAGCAACATGTTATAGTCAAAACAAGGGGAGGGGGCTGGATTTTCCCTCACCAAAAGCTAGAGGTAAGGCTGTATCCCCCTCTGAACTGAGGAAGATACTGGAGCTGACCGTCCTGATCTTCCTGTTCAAGATAACTAGCCACAGCCATCCATCATTATGGGCAGTTAGACACTGCTTTGTGATAGGCTTGGCTTGGTGTTGGGCCTGCAAACAAAGATTACCCATGCTGGACAACATTTACTGACAGCTGGCCTAAGAAGGAGGGTGATAACGTCTGCTTGACAGTTCCTTATCTGTCGTACACAACTGGGGAGTGCAGTGAGCCTGTTGACATCAGGGGTTCCTTGGTAAGCTCCTGAGGTAATGGCAGCCTCAAACCCCTGCCATTAGGGGCCAGTGGTGGTTTGCAGAGGAGGGTGGTGGCACCTTAGATGATCTGGTTGTTGGTCTGGCCAGGGTAGCGCTCAAATCTCTTGTTGGCCTCTTCACTGAAGGCATCACCTGCATAGGTAACGAGGTATAGAAGGTGCTTTGGACAGAAGTGGGCAGACAGACCCATTGTAGGGAAGGGTGGGTATAAGTGGAGAGGCTGAGAGATGGAGAGGTAGGTGGGAAGACAAACAACTTAGGGAAAGAGATGGAGGCCTCCCCCTACCACTCATCCATCAAATACCGATATGGCAATTGTGCACCCAGATGCGATGTCCATCATATTTACAGTTACATTTCATTGCATTGTTGGTGAAGTCACTCTCTGCTACTTCAAAATTTGGGTTGATGACCACCTGTGGGTGGGAGAAAGGCCATTTCACCCATGTGTAGTCTTCAAATGTTCCTCCCACTTTTCATCTGGATATCTGAGACAGACCCCAGGCACCTGTAGAATGTAGTTTCCTGGTTTCACATCTGTGATGTCAATCCACTGACAGTCGATGTCATGCCGGTATAGATCCCAGCAACCCACGGTGATGCCCTGCTCTCCAAAGTTGGCGCACTCGTACCTCTTAGAGACATCTGAAAGCACAAGAACTCACTGCCGTGGAGTTGGCTCTGACTCCTAATGACCCCTCCTTGGGTTTCCGAGATGGTATCACTACAGAAGTAGATTGTCCAATCTTCTGAGGAGTGGCTGGTGGGTTTGAACCACCAGCCTTCTGGTTAGCAGTCAAATGCCTTAGGCACTATGCCACCAGAGCTCCTAGAGACACCTGAAAAGCTGTGGGATGGAGACACTAGTCCATTCTATGTCCAACTCACCCTCGTAACATTCGGTGTCTTCTAAACAGAAACTAGCTTTGTGGCCCTCAGCTACCTTGGTGCCATTGGGGGTCAGAATATCATAGTGAGTGAAGATGTCCATGCTGTGGTAATGCCTGTGGGGACAAGGGACAACAGAACTGTTTCTTTCCCTGGCTGCAGCAAGCCTGCCCCACTCATAGTGCCCTTGTCTTTCTAATCTGACCTCCTACCCTCTCACCCATGACACTCGTGCCACACCCAGGAGTGGCGCCCAGCCTTAGGCCTGAAGTCAGCTCGTCCCAGGTTGTGGATCTGGGAGGAGAATCGGAGGAGACGTCGGTGGCCATAAGGCCAGTTGGCTGAGCGGGCTGAGCGGGCCAGGCAGTTCTCTTCGGCAGCACAGTACAACATGTGTAGGGGCCGGTCTTCGATGTAGGCTGTCTCCTGCACCAGCGCTGAGTGCAGCAGCAGATCGGACGCAGCTGCCCCAAAGAAGAAGCAGTGTATTAGAAATCACTACTGAAGAACAGGGACAAGTGGGGCAGTGTTTGGTTCTGTTGTACACAGAGTCACTATGAGTTGGAGCTGACTCCACAGCACCTAACAACAACTACTGGGTGTGAGACGATTTTCTATGAGGAAAGTGTGCCCCTCCAGATTTCAACCCCCTCTCTCCCTATGGAGGGGTGGCTCAGACCTCCCCTTCCCGGCTTATAGCACCCCACACTCACTCTCAGAACAGATGACTCCAGCAGTGAAACGGGTTCCTGTCCTCTTGCAGGTGATGGGGGTGCTGTGATGGGCACATTGGTCCAAGGACAGCTCGGTGCCTTTGCAGCGCACTCCACTCATTACCACCTCTGTCACATTCCCTGAGTCCCAGTACCAGGTCTCCTGGGGACAGGTAGATGTTTCCTTGAGGGCCTAGGAACCAGCTTCCTAGGCCAAGGGATCATATCCACACTCATCTGCCCCAGACAAAGGCTTTGGAGGCAATAGCTTTGGCTTCCCTCTCCCCCTTCCCACCTCACCTGCAGGCCGTGGTTGGCATAGCCCAGGCCTAGCTGTCTACAGACCACCATGGCTTCCAGTGTCCCCCAGTCATCCCCGCAGATGAGGCCCCAGTGAAGGGGCCCAGGTCCTCCAATTTGCACCTCAACTCTCCCTTCGTATCGGCTGCGGCCCCCACTGAGTCGGATCTGTGGTGACACAGAATGGAGTGCTGGGGGATGCTTTAGGGATGGGGTGGGAGTCTGTAGCAGTGATTTAGAAACACCTAAAGGCTTAACAAGTGGTGGGGCCAGGTGGGAGCTGCAGGATGGCAGGCCCCTGGCCTGATGGGCTGGGTGCATCAGATTGCAGGTTGGAGCCCAGGACGGGCTGACATGAATGGTGGAGACCTGAACCAAAGAGGACAATATGACTGACCTTGGTTTCCACCCCAGTGTAGGGCAGGTTACATCGCACCCCAGCATCCTGGGTATGGGAGCAGTCCTCAGCTGTGATGTTCTTGTGAGGGCACTTCCAGAGGGATGGTTCCTGTCCAGAGCATCGCACTTCACTCAAGTGGATGGCACCCATGCCTAGGGTCGGGTGTCAAAGATCAGAAGGTTGTAACTGTACTTTCAATGTCTGCCCAGGGGTATCCTAACCTTCTTCCCAAAGAAGTTACCCACCCCCCCAGGATTATATACCTCCCCCTTCCCTCTCCCTCCCACCTCCATGCTTCCTTACCCTGCCCCATGCGGGCACCACTCAGAGCCTCTCTAGCGCTCCCAAAGCCCAGCTCCCGACACACCACACTGGCTGCCTGGAGGTCCCATTTACGGTCACAGACTGTGCCCCATGTGCCAGCCTTCAGGACTTCCACCCGGCCCTCTCCAGGGTGGGATCCACCCTTTAGACGCACACGGGCCTACAGAGGAGAGAGACATGCCCAGTAGCAGTGAATGGAAACATCAGCTCTGAGAGGGCTAAGTAGACCTGGGCATTGAATGAGATTTGGTGGAGGCAGGAAGGGGAGGTATCAGGTCTGTGGCCCACCCTCTGGAAGGTTCTTCTCTGTCCTCAAAGGTCAGGGCTGTGCTTAGTCACAGGGTAGCCAGGCTAGGGGGTTCACTACCTGGGGTGGGGAAGGTCATAGTCACTGTCTCACATACCTCCCCTTGAGGCTTCAACTGTTGTTGCTTCTTCTGGCCACTGGATGCAGCATAGAGAGGGCCTGGCACACAGCTCACCACTGCAGGGGCCCCCCCAGGGCACCTGATGGTGTCATTGGCACGATATAATTCCAGGGAGCAGAGGGAGAGGTGGGCCTCCGTGCCAACACATGCCACCCCGTGCAGACCAAAGGAGTGTTGCTGCCGCTGGGCCAGCAGCCTGGGGGGGGGGGCAGGAGTGGAGGGCAGCAGGGTGAAATAATGCTCCTGCCTTTCTTCCCACAACCCTCCTCCCACGCCACACCTCCCCACCCCCCCCACCTCTCATGACCACTAATCCCTTCTTCCCTCCTTCTCATCTAAGTTTCCTACCAAAGAGACAAGGGAAATGCCAAGTTTCCAGCCTGAAAGAACCTAGACTACCCAGACAGGAGGATCCTTGGGGACCTTTGGCAGCAGAAGAACCTTACAGGAAGGATGGCTAGTCGATTTGCCCAAAGGAAGCCTTGTCCAAATGGTTTCTGGCTGTTGGCCTTAACGGAGGTTGAGACCTTTAAGGCTGTGGTGCAAAGAGAAAGGGGGGCCTGGATTACCCAGCTGGATGAAATGGCCTGGAGGGAGTGTCTGACACAAACAGGAAGCCTGGGTAGCCAGAGCTAGCAGATCCTTCTATTATGCTGAGACTGAAATAACGGAATGAGTCAGATGCAAAGGAGTGAGCAAATCTTGCATCAAAGTGGCTCCTCCTTCTCCGAGGCCAGAGACTGCAGGACAGAGTATGATGGGCAGTTGCAGGAAGAACAGACCAGAGAACGGACACAGGAAGGACTGGACTGGCAGATGCAGAAATGAAGATGCATAAATGGGACAGCATGACCAGAGAAGGAGGGCAAATGTGACCAACAAATTAGTAAAGCTACACCAGACTCTGAGCTGAGAAATATGACAGTCTTTAACTGCTTCTGCGGTTTAAATATAATAGACAGAATGCCCTATAACCCACCCAAGCAGGAAAATGGGACTAAACCAGAGATGTGAAAGCTTGGAAACACCACAAAGAAATGCTTGAGAAAATGAGGGCACTTGCTTATTGGTACCAAGGGAATGAGCGATTGCAACGAGGTGTGTGGATGAGGGAATTATTTTCTTCCTAGAACGGGGCTGGTTCTAGCCAAGAGAGGAAGGGAAGCAGATGAGGCCTGGTGTTGGCAGCTCGGGCCTGTGAGGCTGATTTTGTGGGGATTCATTATACTATGTACCCATCACCTGATGTTGGAGGAAGGAAGGAATAGGAGGACTTGAAACCATTGGCTAGGAAGACGTGGAGAGGAGGAAAAAGTATTGAAACAAAATGAAACAAAAAATCAGACAAGAGAAGCCTGGAGACTTTACAGAATACCTTTATGGAGGCTCAGGAGAGATGGATTCTGAAGATGAAGGAGAACAGGTACACTCTTAAAAGTCCTGTTTGTTTGAAAATAAAAGTCAAAGAGGCCATCACAGGAAAAAGATATGTATTTTCTAAACTCCTTTCCCTTTTCCCACAACTAGTAAAGTAAAAATTTCAGTGTGTACTTTAACGTACACATCATGGCCAGGGTGTGGCCATGATGGACAAAGATGGCCCTAAGTGTGAAGTGCATTAAAGAACTCCCCCAAATTCTTAGCTCCTCTGAAGAACCCACAGGAAGGACTGGAGGACGAGGGACACAAAGGACCACTGGGTGATCATGGAACTTGCTGAGGAGAGGAGGAACCATAGAAAGATGAATTCTCTGCATCTCAGTCACTGCTGAAGGAGTTATCAAGGAGACCCGAATATGTAAACAGCCTTTTGAAGCCATGCAAGATGTAATCCCTAGGGTTGGAAGCTTTCTACTCCCTTGAGTTCTGAAGGAACCCAGGAGGACAGTTATGGAATTGGGAGTCTAATTGTGTAAACTGAGGCAGAGAGGCAGGATTCCATCCCTTTACCAGGGCACTCTGAGTCTCACCTCTATACCAAGTAAGCTAGTAGCACATATTTTAAAAAATAAAATAAAGGTAGGATGGGAACACTGACCCCTTAGGCAAAATTAACCTCTTGGGGAAGAGACAAGCATGGCATCTGAAGGAGAAAAGTGCCAGATTATCCACTAGAATGCACTGGGGAACAAACAAATAAGCACATGGAATAAGGGTAGTCAGTGGATAAACTCTATCGAGATTTTAAAAAGTCTGATGACAAGCATAACTCCAGGAACCAACATAAGGGTGAGTCTCACCTAATAATTCAGTAAATGATCTGGAAGGTGATTTGTAACAGCCGTTGCGGCTCCTCCTCCACAGCTTAGTTAGCTCTTTCAGCAAATGGCCCTCCTCAGCGCCCTCCCAGAGCACACCCCATCCCCCTAACTTCATAATTCGGCCCCTCCCACCCATCTACACCCAACCTGAACCAGTTCACCTCTTGATTGGCTCCCTGCCTGCTCGGGGTTTGGGTTTGACTTTAAGCTTGGTGGCTGGTCTGAAAAAAGCAGAAAGAAGTCAGTGGAGGTGGTGGCCCAGGAAGGGCAGAGAATTACTTTGTCTGTTGCCAGGAAGGACCCTTCATGCTGAGTACGGGAAAGGGCAAAGCAAAGGATGGTGGGGTTTTCTGCACATGCTGCCACTGAGCACCACCAAGCGGCTTTTCAGAACCTTGTGCTGCTCTCTGGATTCAGCACCACTGATGGAAAATCCCATTATATCCATCCAGGTGGGTGCAGAGAGAGGAGATAGGGAAGATAAAGGGTGGAGAGGGAACAGGATGTGGTGAATTAAGGGAGAAGGAGGAGGAATGCAGGTGGCTGAGGTTGGAGTCCAAGTAGAGTATAAACATGGAGGGCTTCTCCTCAGCCATTCTCACATTCTTTGCTCCTTGTGCTCTGTAAGACCAAAGCACGTCTGTTCCCAGTCCTGCCTCCCATCCCCTCCCCCGTGGAATGGCCATTTCCCAATCACATCTCTACTTCATCAGCTTGGGTTCTGCAATGGACATGGATAGGGTGCCATCTATCCATCCATCCACTTCCTGGGGCCACAGGGCCCAGCAGGAGGTCCCGGGGCTCTCACCCCATTACCTTCCAAGGGGCTTGGAGCGTCGGGCCCAGGTTTTGGCCGCTCGCTTCCTCAACTTTCTGTGAGGATAAGATAATAGTAGAGTCAGGATCAGTATAGAACCAAGTGGAAAAGCCTGGTGCTACTGGGAGCAGGGGCAAACATTTTTCACAACAGCTTATGTAGGGTTTGTGGTGAATAGGATATTATAACATCAGATACTCCAAGGCCCTACCCTTCACGGTCATTATATTAGGACCCACAGAAATCAGTCTAAGGAAGGATGAAGAAGCAGCACTCCTGGGTCCAGTAATTAGAGTAGACCTAAAGTTCAAAGGGGCTGGGGGTGGGCTAAGGAAAGGAGTGTAATAAAAGAGTGTTAGGATTGTTAGGACAGCTAGACTGACCAGGCTAGGAGAGAGAGGTAGCCTGGTAATGACTGGAGAGGCTGAATGTCTTTTTTTCTTTTTTTCTTTTTAAACCTTGGATACCTTTAGGCTTCTGGCACTGTCCAGGCCTGAGGCCAATGGACCAGGACATCAAGGGCCAAGGCTGGATGTCCAAGGATATTACCTCGGTTTGACCAGGGAGCATGAGGTGAGTCTTCTTGGGATGCCAGGAGTCCTTTTGCCCAAATTCCAACTCCACATGCTTTGGTGATTCACAAACTGAGCTAATCTCCCAAAATATTTCCAGGGAAATAAGTTCTAAAGCCATATATCTTTTTAATTGGCCTACATAATTGACCTATTTTAAGAGGATGCCTTAGGACTAGTGTCTGGATTTTGAGTCTGTCTCTCCTTTCATTCTCCTTGTACTTTTGAAGACTTTAATTATGGCCCCTCTTTGTCCTGTCCAATTAGTAATAAATGAATATAGGTCTCATCTGTCTATTATAAATTTATGGAATCCCCTATTATCAGCTTAGCTGTTCTGTCTTTGTACATGTTCCTGCTCTGCTGTTTCCTCTTGAGGAGTAAGATCTGGACATAGTATACTCTGTGCAGATGCACTCGAATGAATGAAAAAAAAATATAATTTTAAAAAACACAGGGGTGAAGAAGCTGTTTGGCATTTCCTGCTCTGGCTTCTTCCTGAGGATATATTTAGTATATTTAGTTGGCCTTTTTGCCAAAACATCCAATATAGCCTACATTCCTAGCAAAGAGTCAACAATAACTCTAGGTCCCTTTCTTGAGACAATACTGAGTTTGGAGTCTTTCGTATTATAAATACAGCATAAAACTTTTTCTACAAATGCCTTTTACTCAAACATGTCTAACATGAAACACATGACACTTTCTTTCACCAATGAACGCAGAGATCCCTCTGGATCGCCAGAGTAGTACTCAGAAGACTGCAGTATATTATCTGAAAATTTAGAAGTACTTCTTCTCTAAGGTATTTAAATGATCTTAGTTAAGGCCAGTGCTGATATCTGCCTTGACTTACATTTCTTCATTCCCAAATGTACTTATTTTCCCCTATCATTTGTTCCTTCAACCATCAGACAAAAACACACCCACATCTGCACATCCTATTCCATTCTCTCCATCTCTCCCTCTTCTCTAAAACCACCCCCACAACTATTTCTGAATTCCATCCTTTTTGATCCTTCCTCTCTCGTATACAACCTTTCCTTCTCAACTGAGTTTTTTTAGACATGTTCAAATCTCTCCTATAAACACACACACACCCTCCAGCCCACATCTCTCCTCTTTGCAGCAACAGTTTTCAAAAGCTTTGTCAATAGTCTCCATCTCCATATCCTTTTTTCCCATTCTTTCTTTAAACCAAGCCTTTCTGATTTCTCCCACTCATCACTCTTCAGTAAGTTCTATTTTAGGATGTTTATTCAAGTAGACATTTTTTCAGTCTCCGTCGTATGGACCCCTCAGCAGCATCTGAAAGTCTTCTCAATCTCCTTCCTTGCTATTTCTTGGTCTTCTTTACCATCTCCTCCTCATCATTCAAATTTTTGCAGCTTGGTTTTAGGGATCCTTTTCTTCTCACATCAAACCTTCTTTTTATATTGCCTCACTCACACCTAGCCTTGCATATTAAATTCCTTCTGGTTTCTGGTTAGATATCTTAATTTATTAAAAAAAAAAAAAAAGTAACATATGTCCAAAAAGTAAACTC